AATGGCTTTTGCGATTAGTGTTTTACACCTCTGTAAGTCTGTTGGTTTGTCTCCAACAAAAGTCTTTTTGATTTCGACTTTTTACCTAAAAGAGTCAATTTACAGAGTTAATGTGAAATACAAAAAAAACAAAGGAAAACAAAAGTCAGAAGAGGTTTGCTGTATCACCTATTGTTACTATGTTTAAACATACACACCGTTTCACCCTTGCCTCTTTTTTGCCCTCACACTTCGAATTGTTGTAAAAACAGCATCAATAATTAATGATCCAATTAATAGTTTACACTAGTTTTTATTGAGCTGTCAGAATGATGGAAAGCCTGGAGTCGGTGAACTCCAGCCATCGCCTGCGCTCTGCCTTCCACCTGAATCAGCACTTTGAGGGAGCCTCGGAGCCGGGGCGAAACAGCAGGGCTGGGCATGCAGTGCTGATGCGCATAATTTATGGCTTTGATGAGTTTCCTGCTCTCTGAAAAACCACACTGTGCGTTGGTGGGGATCGATGCCCCACTGTGGTGTGGCACTGTTAATAAAGCTTCTGGGAAGGAATGGTGTTTGTAAATGCTGGATGCAAAGTGAGGGGTTGAGTTGGGGAGAAGCATGCCCACGCAGACACGCACAGAAGCAGACAGGCAGGCTCTGATGCAGACGGGCAGGCTCATTGATTGAGGGAACAGAGACAAGACGTTGAACCAGGATTTCAGCAGGACTTTAAACTGGTCTCCTCCTATGGCCAGGCTTACGGGAATAAAACTGAGCTTCTCCGTGATCCAAGCCAAAACCCTGAGGGCTCCGCAGAGAAGGACCGGGACACCATCAGAAGACAAGACTGACAGGAAAACCCTCTCAATCCACTGGCCAACAGGACACGAACCTTGGAACTACAGCGAAAACGACCAAACAAAACACACAACGCAAAACAATGATATGGCCTTGATAGCTGGGCTGGACTGAATATAAAGCAGAACCTACTGGTGGATGAGATCAGAGATGATTAGGAACTGGGCAAAACTACGCAGGTGAATGAAATTAGTAATTAAGGCCAGCTATCAGAGCAGATCATGACAACTAGTAGATATACACATATTATAAATGTAAAAGTTGTGTTCAGCTATAAATGAAAGCCAAAAGCCATAAAGCATGTTGCTGCTGCTTTCAGAACACATTGATAGCTGTATTGAAACATTTATTAATGCTAACTTCATTTCACTAACTTTTAACACTTTGCTACACTTTGATAATGTCACTAGCTGCAACTAGGAACAAAACTCTACTGCTTTAAGAGGCGGGATTTCCTGAAAAACAGCTAATCACAGGCAACATATTTTCTTAGATTGGTTTGTTTGTTAAAGGGACAAATGTTGACACGAGTGCTGAGAAACATGTCCATATGCGAGTAGGAGAGAATCTACAGGAGCAAAAGAAAGCAAGAGAACGCAGAGAATGAGCATGGACTAGTTCACTACCATGTACTAGTGACATATTAGGGGCCTTTGGGATAGAATCTGTACGCATAAATCAAACTCAAACCGTACATGGAGAGTAGTTCATTCAGGTTGTTTAGGTGTGTGTTTTAAATAAAACAGCTTGTATGAGTATTGTTTTACGCATCATATCACACTGGTTCAGAGGTCTTATGTCATTTAGGGCCATAGTTTAGAAATCTTGTAGCAAGGCTTGGGAGTGGTAGTAAATGGTAAGGCTTTTGGGAGTGGTAGTGAATGCTTATTTTCTCTTTCATTTAACGAAGAACTAGTACATGTACATGATTGCTGTACTTAAGGGTATAGAGGACAATGTTTTATTCCCAGGTGGATCATCTAAATAAGTGGTTCTCGTAGTTGTCAATCATTCTGGTGATATGTTTACGTAATGCTGTCCTACGTGCTCGTCCTCTTAGCTATATTTTTCTGCATTTAGGCACTTTCAGGCTTATATCTATGGTGAGCTAAGGTTTCAAACAGTCACTGAAACTCACCTTTCTCCTCACAGTTCTTTAAAAATGGCAGAGGGTCGTAAGAGAAAAAGTGTCTAGGAAGTGTATGAGAAGAAAACAAAGGCCTCAGAAGAGGCAGATAAAATGCTTGGGAAGGAGAGCTCTCCATCTTTGACTAATAACAAAGATGGCGCAGGTACAGCATGGTGGAGGAGGAGTTACATGAGCAAAAACAAAAATGTGTGATCATCTGTCAGTCAGTTAACTGAATTCTCTATAAACTCCACTATATAGTCCCCGCTGTATGTGGAAACAGTAAGCTTGTATGAGCTATGAGGACAGCATATTTTAAACAGGGCATGCACTAAGAGAAATGGGCTGGTGCACGCTCTTGCACGCACATTTTATTTGAAGGTGGAGAGGGCGCGTCTTTTAAATCATTGTGAAAATCTTCCACAATACCTTTAAGTACATATTTTGAGTTTACTTTACTTGAGTTATTTTTTTTGGGTGGGAGTGCTTAGAACGTTCACTTCACTACATTTCAAAGTCAGATATTGTACTTTCTACTTCACCACATCTTTAGTTACTGGTTCCTTTTCGATCAGCTTAGCTTTGTAATCCCTGTTGCTGTTTTTCTTTCTTGAAATGCAGTTGGCCACATTATGTTTTCACAAAGTTCATCCTTAAGAACAGGTATCCTGGATGTTTTTCATGTTTTTCAGCACAACTGGGTCAAATAGTAGCTCATTAGCAGGCATTTGACATGCTGAGGGGGTAATTACTCCGAGGAGAAGAATTAAACATGGAAGAAAGCAGCCCTTGGGACTGAATTTGGACACCACTGTTTTAGAGATTTGCTTGACGTCCCACAAATGTGAGAAACTCAGAACAGTTATTATTTGTGGTTAATATATGTATATTCTTAAGGTGTTATGTGTTGCCATGTGAACAGGTTTTTCAGTAGGATGAGATCTCAAAGCAGAGTTGTGGTTTCTTTGTGAATCTATATTCAACCTAAGACCTCTATTCTATAGTGAAAGTGTGAGCAGAATTAAAACACTTCCGTTTTCTTTTTGGTGTGTTTTTAAATGGAAAATAATAATCAAAATAGCCACCCTTTTTTTGTGGCATTTTTATTCTTTTCACAGATGGTTCAGAATTTGTAGTAGAGCGGTTCTTCTGAAAGTTGCAAGGTTCTGTAAAATTAGACAAAAATGTACTGATTTTAGAACATTAAATTTGTACTTTTGAATACTGAAGTACTTTTAATTGAACATACTTCTGAATACTTACATATTTTCAAAAGTGAGTACTTCAGTACTTTCACTTGCAGTTGAGTAAAATTTGATCTTTACATAAGTACTATAGCTATGGAAGCTGAGAGTGGTCATAGTCAACTTTTTTTTTTTTCCTTTGCTTTCTTGAGATAATGACATAACTATATCGTCATGATGGTTGAGCAATTAATTGTTATCACGAGAAAACAGTTATTGATTTCTTGACATAACAAGATTATTAACCTGCATGACTTATAATTTACTCTATGAGTTATTATTTGCATCTATGCCTGCGGGGCCTGTAGTTGTGTGGTCGTAGTGCCGCGTGGGTGCAAATAATCAGTTTCTTAGTTTCCTATTTCTTTTCACTCATTGTCAGGTTGTGGGGGATGATTGGATTTCATGGAATACAGTGTGTAAACTGTGTTTTTATAAAAATCTTTAATCTGGACTAATTTTAGGGGTTAATGCCTCTTATACCTGTTACAGGCATAAAGCCGGGACTGTTTAGAAAACACCCGGTGACAGAACAACGGCTCTAAGGTGCCAGAGGCATAGGTGTAATTGCTTATGAATCAGAATTGGAAGCAAATCATCAAACCAACGTCGTCTAGTTACCTAAGAGTTCAACACAGGATTATTTAAAGAATTAAACATAGGCTGCAATGACCTATAGTTATAAATCCTCTCCCGCTTTGTGGTATTGAAGGAGGTAATCAGTTTTAACACATTACCAATCACCTCGTTATAACGAGAAAACGGCTTTTGTTATCTTTAGATAATGAGAAAATTAACTCATTTTTTTATCGATAAAACCACTGTGTAATTACCTGAGGGACACGACCGCCCTCGGCTTCTGTAATATCTGAATACTTCTCCCACCACTGTTCAGAAACTTTAAGCAGTGCTGTTGTTTAAAACTTAAGCACCAGTAGAGAAAGTCTTTTTTTTTTCCTTAATAAAAAAAATAAAAATGTTTTAAAAAGAACGGGATATCTCAGAATAATAGAAAATAATCTAATATGCAAATCTAGGCTTTTAAATTGAATTTCCACCAATTTAAACAATAAAAAAGTCCCATGTCTCTATTTACAGTAGCTCTCTAGTGTCCACTTGTAATGTGGGGTTTTGTATAATTTAATACAGGAGCTCTTAATTGTCTGCAGGTATGCTGAGTAAGAGTTAAGAACTTTCATGAATCATGCATTAGTTATTAGTACCTGAGCACCAGCAGTGTTTTACAGGAAACCTAGAAGTTGCATGTTCACACTATCTGAGTTTGGGCAGTGTGTGGAAGTGTGTCTGTGTGAATGTGCGTATCTGTGTGTGTGTGTGAGATATGTGAATATTTGGATGTCTTGTCGAAGTGATGTTCATGTAATCTATGTGCTCGTCTATGTCCGGTTTGTGGTGTCCTCACTTGTCCCTCTTGCTGTCCTCTCTCGTGTATTCGCGCCCTCCCCCCAAACCCTGCCCCCTCACATTACAGGAGATTTGGATGGCCATTGGTGGGACCATGCGTCATGGCATAGCAGCGAGGCCTCCCCAATGTCTTTGGTGAGACATGTGGAGCCCTGCCCTGACCCTCCCTCCCTCCTTCCCTCCCCACGTCCTGTCCTTTAATCCCATCTCCCTGTCTCTCTTTCTCTGTTTCTCTTTGTCTTTACTGTCCCATGCCCCCCGATCTCCCCGAGTCCTTTGTCATTTCATGTTTCCTTTGTTTTATTTACACCTTTGCATGTTGTTTTTTCTGTTTTCTTTCTGTTTTTATCCCACGCCTGTAGGGGAGAGTCAAAGGGGAAAAAGAAAAACTATTGAGCAGGCATTTATATCCGAGCCGACACACACCTTATCTGAGAGGCAAAAGAAAATGGTGCGCTTTGGGGGACACTCATTTGAAGAGGACTTGGCGTGGTGTGAACCACAGGTTAAAGACTCGGGAGTTGATACGTGCAGTAGCACTACCCTAAACGAGGAGCATAGCCATAGTGAGAAGGTACTGAGAAAATCTAGCCTGCATTTTGTGATTCTTCTTATTATTGTTTATTTTATTTTTTGTTTTTACCCATTCAATATTTGTTTACTTCCTCTCACCAACTTAAATCCGAATAGAAGTTAATTCTGAATTTTTATTTGTCTAGATTAATTTGGTTTCTTTTTTTATTTGATCATTTTTGCTAAAAACAAACAACATTTTGGGATTTCTCTTTTTTTGCTTGCCACCTGTACTTGCTGTTTTGCCCTCCTAATGAAGACACACATGTCACAATAGTTTGTAAAGCCCCTGTCACAGCTTGACGATTTAGACCAGCATATGCATGACGTACAAAAAATCAGTCAAATACTCTAGCGTTGATTAGATAAGTTATAAGTTCTGAGCACCCTGAAGCACGCTGGAGTACGCTGAAATGCGCTGTCACACGTTGACGCGCAGCAAGTGTTCCAGCGTATGCCATACCTGGGGCATAAGTTACAGGTAAGTTATTTGATTGTAAGTTTCTCATAAGTCGTGACGTCTAGCTTATCCAAAACCTATCAGTAACTTGTGAATAACTTATGCGTAACTTATTAAGAACTTATCAGCAATGCATATCAACGTATCTGACGTGTTCCAGGCAACCGCTAAATGTGTTTCTAGCTTAAAGCTACTATATAATGGCGTATTGGCAGCGTTTCGGTATATACGGGGGTTCACAGGAGGAAACGATCTGTTCTCCTCCAGACTTCTTCCCCCTCATAGGGTGAGCATGAAGGTGAGTGTGATGGATCCTCCCTGCGTTCACGACCAACACACTTACAGTAAACAGCTAGCTTCGTGAGACCATCCTGATCTCGCGAGCTTTCAAGATTTCACCCGCTAATCAGTCTGGAGACTCTCTGTTGAAGAAAATTTGGAGCCGTTCACCAAACGAACGTCCAATCAGCGTTGGCTTTGAGGCGGGTTGAGGTGTGACGCAACGAGAAGCGCGACAGTTCAGTCTAAAGAACATGGCGGCTTCAGCCGATAAAACTAGCGTTAGCGTGGCTATCGAGCAAGTTTTATCGGAATTACAGAGTATTTCTTCACTGAAAGAAAAGCAAAACACTGCTCTGGAGGCTTTTCTCAAAGGAAAAGATGTTTCGGCAAGAGTTTGATCTATCAATTGGCTCCTCTTCGTCGTCGCTCTGTTAGTACGTCATATCCTTCGTTGATCTGATTGGTTTATTTGGCCAGTCTATCACCAACATAGGCCAATCAGCTAACCAGTATTTTCGCCCCTTCCCAAAATTACTTCTACGGGAGGTTTCCAGATGGATATGCGGAGCTAATCCATCTGGCGGAGTCAGGTTAGTAAACAGCAGCTATGTTAAGATCGCAATCAAAGACGCAGCAATCTTCTTATGGAGACCAGGCACATCGCTGCCCTCCTCAGGCGCATCGCTGCAGCAGCTTTAACTGATGCTTTGTAATTCCCAGGAAATTATGCTTCTTCCTCATTTCCTGGGCATTACGCTGCCGTGCATTATGCATAAGTTAGGTCGTCGTAGGACAGAAGTTCTCGCCTCATTATGAATACGCTATGCATACGCCCAAACTTAAAAAAACCCCAGAGAGTTCAGCATATGCAAGGTTTATTAGATTCTGGGACGTCTGGCTAAATAAGCAGGGTGTGACAGGGCCCTAAATGGTAGCACTGACGCACAACTTCTCTGTTTGTCATGGCACACAGAAATGTAGATCTGTGCTAGTTGCATGCTCGTTCTCCTTTCGTATATTGTGTTTTGTTTTTTGTTTTTTTTGCTCTGCAGCAGTCCTGTTTCGCTCAGTAGGAATACCTTTTACTTAGACCTGTCTTTCTCGCTCTACTTTCCTACCCTACACTACCCAGTCCAGAAAAAAAAAGAAAAAGAAAAACTGTCCCCTGCCTTATTTCGCACTCACTTTAATAGCACATCCCCTCACATACACAAAACTGGAAAGGTTGAATTTGTTTTGCACCAGAAATTTAAACATTTATTTTCTTTTTTCCCTTCCCTTTCCCCCTTTTTTTATTATCTGTGTCTCATGGCTTATGTTTGATCTTCAGTCTTACATCCTTTTTGATTTTTATTCTGGCACCCAGTGGTCTACTTCATTTGCTCCTCTATAATGGGTTGCCTCTCACCCCCCCTTGTGTTGTCTGCTTCCCACTCACTACTCTATCAATGGTGGTGGTCTGTTTGTATGCACTGAAGCCCCGGAGTTACACTCCGATCTTCCTGCTGCTGTTTAAAGTGCTGGTTTGAGGGGGAGTATTAGGGTTGCTTGCTTTACTCTGCATGAGATGCTGCATGAAACTCACTCCAACCTCACACTTGCAGGTTTACACAAGCTCTGAAAATGATTCTCTGACCTCGCCAGAAATTCGATGGCAACATCCTCTTTACAATTGCATACTTCGTTGAGCTAATTAAGAAACGAAAATATCTTTTTAAAGAAGAAAGTAACCATAATAAATCATCAGAGTTTGTGTGAATCATCTTCCCCCAAGTCGAGTCTCCTATTGTACTTCCTTCATGCCCCTTTATACCAGAGACAGTTGTCTTCTTTGCTCTGGTCTGACCTCTTGCAGTGAGTAAGTTGTTAAACAAAAGGTGTGTTGTTGCTCTGACTTTGTAGCACCCAGTGACATGGCAGCCATCCAAAGACGGAGATCGCCTTATTGGTCGTATTTTGCTCAACAAACGTATGAAAGATGGAAGCGTGCCTCGAGACTCAGGAGCTCTACTTGGTCTAAAAGTAAGTTTGTTGTACATGGAAGAGGCTCATTATGGGTCTCCTCACACATTTCTTCTGCTGACCTCTGTAAATACAAAATATAATATAAATAAAGACACAAAAAATATCCAAATTGACTGGCCTTATTTTAAAGAAATATTATTTTGGAGTGAACTTTGTCCTCTTATTGTCACAGCTAAAGACATTTTTTTTGTAAATGGACATCAAACAAAAAGAGCAATCCAGAAATTAAGCTTGGAAAAACTTTTCAATCAAAAAGATATTGTAAGAGTGAAGTTGCTTCTTTCTCAGATTTTATTTTTCTAATCTTTTTCATAATTTATCTTTTCAAAGTTTGGCTTTTCATCTTCTTTTTGTGTCATAGCTGTTTTTCAAATTGATTTTATAGATCAGATTCTTTTCACCGCTGGGGCACAACTTTCCACTGGAGTGAGAAGGAAAGACGTCTTTCTATTTGTCTGTTGGATAATAGAGTTACACCCCCCCCCCCCACACACACCCCAAATAATCTAAAGGAATAAAATTTGAAAATATGAAATCTGTAAAAAAAAAACTTTTGAACAAAACCTTTCATTTGTTCACTGGAAAGCCTTAAAAAAAGCATTGATTTTCATTGATCAGGACATGATTCACTGCATTTTAAAATCTCACTAAGAGATGTTTTTACAGTTCCCCCCAAAAATCTAAAAGAATAACATATGAAAATCTAAAATCTGTAAAAAAAAAAAAAAAAAAAAAGATTTTTTTAATAAAATTCCTAAAGTTAAAATGCTAAGAAAATAGCAACTTTTCTCTCAAAACACTTTCTTGATCGAGTAGTTTTTTATTTTAAGTTTCATTTCTAAATAGCTTTTTGGTTCAAATTTCCATTTACAAAACATGTTCTTTACTTGCAGAAATAATGGAACAAATATCACTCCATAGTTAACTACCATTAAACATTGGCGCTAACTTGCAGGCAGTTTCTTAAATCTCTTTGAGGAATTTTAAATCAGTCATATTGGAGGGTTTTCCAGCATTTTCTCCATGTCTAGTCTGTTGTCTTTTTTTCTATCTCTTTAGAGATGGACTTATGGGTGTGTTTTAGATTGTTTTCCACTTGCATGACATAGGTGGGCTTAAACTTAAGGTTTTACAAATTGATGTATCCTTTAGCAGAGTCCAGAAATCAATCATCAATTATGTGAAGTACCTTAAGTTCTGTAGAAGCAGGGAAGAGGGACCCAGAGCCACCATACTTGGATTTGCTGTGCTTTTTCTACAAGCCCTTAAAACAGATGTTTAGGGATGAACACCTTTAAAATCCTCTCCAATTTTTAATTGGCAGTTAGAATATTCTTCCCAAAAGTGTTGTAGGTCATCAAACTCCTTGTATTTTATTCTTATTTTACCAATGCTGCTAAATTGCTATTGAGTTGCTTTTTATAACCTATAATTTTTGTCTTCTGGTACCCTTTCGTATCATTCTTGTCGAACCTCTTATTATTACATCATGGGCATTAACCTTAACAGAAGTAAGTGAAGCCTGCCTCTGGTGTTTCTCATGGATTTTTTATGATATCCTTGGGGAGTTGGCAAAGCACACTTTGGTTAATTTTGGTAGCCTTTTCATCAAACGGGAGGTTTTATGTGTTGTTTTTTCCCAACTCTAGAAAAAACCTCTCATTTGTTCACCAGAATACAAAAGCCTTTTGTACAAAAATAAAGCATTGTTGGTTTGGTTTCTTGTCTGCTCTTTAATTTCTTTAGATCAGGACATGATTCAATGCTTTATGTTTTTACAAATAAGTTCTAATTAAGTGATTTCTTAATTAGTGATAAGGCTTGGGTCTGGATATGTTGTAGGGTGTGATCCGATAACCTTTACACAAAGGTTGATTATATCGTTTCTCCTTATTTTTAGCTGTGGTCTAAATTTGTTTAATATTCAGAAACATTAAAGTATGAGGGTGGAAAAATAAAACCAGAAGAAATATTCTGTAAGCACTGTGACTCTAAACATAAACAGTCCAGTTTTTACTTGACCTTCATGAAATGTCTGTTGTATCATAGTTTCTTACAAACAATTGAAGTACCATGTAGAAAAACACTAGGCAGCTAAATTCCTCCATTTTTTCTTGATTAATAATTTAGAATATTTAAAGTATAAGGTCAGAGTTCAGCCAATACTCATACAAGCAGTTGTATTTAAAACACTGACTTGTAAACTTTTTTTTTTCACGCATATTTTCAATGTTCTATGCGTGCAGATTCATTACATTGAAGCCCCCAATATAGTATATCACATGCATGAGTTCCTCCTCCTTCTCTGCACTCATCACTTCTTTTTCATGCATCTGTAGATTCTCCTTTGCTTGTGTGTGGAACTCATGACAACTTTGGTCAATTTGAGGGCGGAACCAACCTCAGAAAGTTATTGACAGTTTCCTTTTTCCTCTAGAAACAATACTGTTGTATTAGCAGATGCGGTTGCTAGGTATTTTAGCAAAGCATCTTTAGTCTAATAGTTGTTCTGTTCATGATTAGAATCCTGACTTTCGATCATTAATTGCTTATAAATAAAATTCTAACACAAAACATGCTTCACAGTAGATGCAAACTGATTGTAAATCAGGATTTATACAGAAATGAGTAACTCTGATTTAATGCTTTTTAATGCTCTTGTAAAGCTCTTAGCAATATTTTTAATGGCATCAACAAGAACCCATGTATATACATATATTTATACATATATATATATATATATATATATATATACGTGTATATATATATATATATATATATATATATATATATATATATATATATATATATATGTACATATATATGTATATATATATATATATATATATATATATATATGTACATATATATGTATATATATATATATATATATATATATATATATATATATATATATATATATATATATATATATATATATATATATATATATATATATATATATAATATATGTATATATATATATATATATATATATATATATGTGTATATATATATATATGTGTATATATATCTATATGTGTATATATATCTATATGTATATATATATATATATATTTATGTACATATATCTATATGTATATATATATATATATGTACATATATATGTATATATACATATATGTATATATATAACTTAATAACTTAATAATAACAAATAATATGTATATATATATTCATATATATATATATAGATATGCATATGTGTATATATATATATAACTATATGTATATATTCATCTATATATATACATATGTGTATGTATATATATATATATATATATATATATATATATATATATATATATATATATACGTATATATACGTATATAAGTTCATTAATTCATTCCTGCAAAATGTACATAGTTTGCTAAAACACACCACTTTTGAAGTATTATTAACGGGAATTAAGATAATCATTTTTGATAATTGCTAAAAGCATGTTTCATGAAAGTAGTTATGCCACTGGGGATGTTGCAGTCTTTTGCTACTGTTGCACAAAGCCTGCCATGAGGAGAGATAACCTAAAGCAGCAAGATGGGGAAAAATCATTACTGATTGAATGAACCTCCTGAAATGGCATGTTTGTGTCTGCTCAGTGCTTCTGTGCATTTCTGTCCGCTCAGCAGCTGCAGCCAACCAGCTCAACAATCCAGCCGGCCATCCGTCAGGCTGCCAGCCTCACCTTCACTGACCATCTTTCTCTCATCTCCTCTGCAAGCATTCCCTTTGAGCTCCTGTGTGTTACATAAAGCCATTTCATTTAGTGGACTTCTCTAAGCTTCTTTGTATGTTGGTATTCAGCTGCCATTAAATGGGATTTTTATTTTGTATGATGCCAGTGTAAGCTGAGTGCAGGGGTGTACAGTGCAGCCTTAGCCCACGGCTGTTACAGGACGACAGAGCTGTGCTAAAGTGCATGCCTGGGGACTGAAGCAGAAGCCACAGACTGCTTTTTTAGAAGCTATAAGTCCACTTTTATTAATAAATTTCCATTATGCATTAGCTATATATCTTTTATGGTCTTCCTAAAGTACTTGCATCAACCAAACAGCTAAAAATATATATATTTAACTCTATTCAACCTCCAAAAAACCGTGCTGCATGTTTATAATGCTGATCCAGTGCTCAATGTTTACTTTTACAGGTAGTTGGAGGCAAGATGACAGAATCTGGGAGGCTTTGTGCTTTTATCACTAAAGTCAGGAAAGGAAGTCTTGCGGACACAGTTGGACACCTCAGGCCGGGTATCACAAACACCTCAAGACTAACCTCACTCCTCATCCATAGTTTATAATGCTTTGCCATTTGTTTAAACCGATTACTTCATACTGTGTTTTTGCAGGTGACCAGGTTCTGGAGTGGAACGGCCGGATTTTACAAGGAGCTACATTCAAAGAAGTTTACAATATCATATTAGAATCCAAGCCTGAGCCTCAGGTAGAGCTGGTGGTCTCACGGCCCATAGGGTGAGTATATAGAATCACTCCTCTAACACCTGCCACGACCAAACTGTGACTGTCCCACGTGAATCCAGACAGTGCTAAATGCAGACATGGAAAATGTTTCAAGGATACTTTTACCTGAAACACCTTTATTTATAATAGATTAGCTGTCTGAACACAATATGTCCTGAGACACCCTGAAAGACCAAACACTGACACTAATCCCATCATCCCCTGGTGCAGCAGGGTGTCTTGATCTTGGGTTTCTCCGTGAGACATTTGTTAAAACTAATGCTTTGCAACAAGAAGGCCCTTTCTGCATGAAACTTGCAGTTTTCCCCTTTGCATGCATGGCCACTCTCCAAAACCTGTTATAGGGTGTATATCATAAATGATTTTGCTTTTAGCCTTCTTATAATAATATTCCGTCATCAAAGTCATGCACCAAGTGGTATTTCTGTTGATTCACGATTCTCTGTGTAATCTCCATGAGCTCTGATGTCTGAGCAATAGCTCCTCCTTATCCTGCAAAAATTAACCCTGGAGGATTTTTGATCTAAGAATTACGACAGAGTATGAGGGCCAGGCTAGAGATTTTCATTTGTCTTCTATTCTGAAAATAAAGTCATAGCGTTACGAGAATAAAGTCGTAACATTATGAGAATAAATGTTGCCAAACAGCAACCTGAGTCCACTTTGACATTCTGCCCAATTTGTTGCTGGTGCTAAAAGATTTCTTTTCTGTCAAACCAGAGACAAAGTATAACTTCACATGATTGTCGAAATTCCTAATTTTAGGAAAGACAGTGCTTCTTGTAGTAGTTGTCATAAAATACAACTTGTTTTTCGTAATTGTAGGACTTTAGTCTCGTAATTTTACGACTTTATTCTCATTATTTCTCTTTGAGCAGTTTGGGTTGCCGACCTCTGGTCTAACGCCTCTCTCACCAACTGGTAACTTTTTTAACACAATGCTCGACATAAAAGAATAAAATGCTTAACTGTATCTGCAAATTGATAAGAAATGTAAATGTCTAAATTAAACATAAGTTTATTCATCCTAGTTTTCCTAGTTTTAAAAAGTAAAGCTAATTCTAGCTAAGCATATACGTAATATGTAAGGTTCAGAAAGAGCCGTCAAACCACTCTAAGGATGGATCCTGGTTTGTATAACTTCATGTTATCATGCTGAGATGCGTTTTGCTCTTTTATATGGAAAAAAAAAGCCTTTTCAGGCTGTGTCAGAACTTCCACCCTGACCCCTATAGAAGAATAGAATTCAACCTTATTGTCAATATACTGTCACAAGTACAAAGCAACGAAATTCACTCTCTGCATTAAATCCATTCCCTTTGGGAGCAGTGGGCTGCCGTTGTGCGGCGCCCGGGGAGCAGTGTGGAATCAAGGGTCTTGCTCAGGGACACAGAGTGGCAATCCGTGGGAGTTGGGCTTGAACTCAGAACCTCTGGGACCTAACGCAATACCCTTACCATTCAGAAAAGCTGGTCAAGTAATCTTCCTTATCAGCCTGTTCATTTCAATCATCAACAATTTATTTCTTTATTTTTTCAGAGATGTTCCAAGGATACCTGACAGCACACATGCACAATTGGAATCAAGTGAGTATTCTCATAATCTGTTGGAAAGTGATATTGTTATAGTATTTGAATGTCTGTAAAGACCTTGATTAAGTTGTTGTGCTTTAACTAAGTGGTTATTTTTTTGAATTGCAGTATAACATAAAAGAAATTTAAATACTTAATAGTTCAATATAAGATAGCCAAGAGGTGGGTGTGGTACTGGGGGATGCATATACCTAATAAGCAGATGAATATGGCTTGAGCTAAAAGTGCTCTTTTTGAGATATTTGCCTAAATCAAACTGTGAATGTAAAAAAAATTAATTGGTTCAATAGACCAATCAGATTCAGTTTCTGTGGCACAAATCATCCTAACAAATGGATCTTCTATTATGTCTTCAGTACAGGAGCTAAAACAGAATCCAGGACAAGTTCTGCAGGTGTTCTGGTTCCTTTTGGCTGCTGCCTGGAACCGCACGTTCTCTTTAACAAACCTTCTCAGGAGCTCAGATCATTTTTTGGGCTGTTTTTCTCCTCTGCTGAGCTTTAGCAACAGGAAGCAGAACACAATCTGACAAAAGCTGATAGAAATCTTCCCCTAAACAGCCCTGCTGTAGAGACAGGACCCTTTTTGGATGGTAGCTTTGTGGACTATGGATTCCACTGTTTCAATATACCAAGCTTTCGAACTGATCTAATTTTCTTACTTTTTGGTTAAATTTAAATAGCACAAAGGTGTTTCTGTATTTTTGTTCATAAATATAGCATTTAAACTCTTGACACAGCCAGTCTTGCAGCATTACCATTTATATACAACAATAAAATCTGCTAATTTTAAAGATTTGTGACTAACAGACACCAACAGCGATTCATAAGCGGATTTAACAGAATGAATCCTGTCATTTTTCAAAATAAAACACCATTTGGACTCGAAAAATAAATCCGTCAGAAAATGTGGACTTCTTTTTGTACTAATCTTTGATGTCTTTAATGTCAGCCCATGGGTTTTAAAGTGTAACAGCTTTAAAGCAATGTCATTTTGATGACGTATCAGTTTTTTTTATTGCATTCTGAACTGCATTATTTGGTAGGATATCAATGTCCGAAGAAGATAAAACCAACATGGGTTGATTTAAAGTTCGGGGAAGTAAATTTTTTTGAGAAGAGACCTTCAGGATCCCACTGTAAAAATGGGCCATGATATGCCTCAAAGATGCTTCTGCCACTTTCTTCTTCCTTTAGCTTTTTAACCTTACAAGTGAAAAAGAATTGTGACATTCAGTGTATCTGTCTTGGCTCTCTTCCTAATAACTTCGGATTAAACCAAATCATTAATTATGAAGTCAACACAATCCTTTCCAACTGTGCTTCTATTGTCTTATAGGTTCAAGCTCTTTTGAGTCTCAAAAGATGGATCGGCCCTCAATCTCTGTCACATCCCCGATGAGTCCCAGTTTGCTGCGGGACGCCCCACAGTACCTGTCAGGACAGCTCTCAGTAAGTGACATCAACTTTGAACATGCAGCAAAGCAGGAAAACTGAATTATTAAAACATTTTGAATTGGGTTAATGGTTGTTATAAACGGGGCATTCAACATGAAACTATTCATCACCTTAAATAAGTATTTATGCTCCTAACTATTTTCCAAAATGTTTTGGATTGTTTGTTCACTAATCCTATCAAACAAACCTGAAGTCTTAAAATAATATTCTAGCAGTACAGCACACTTTTATTAATTAGCTGACCTTTGAAGGCAAATGTCTTGAATAGATTCTGTTCAAGGGTCTCAATTTAAAATAGTTGAAACAAACGCGACAGTAATGAGTTTTCTGTAAAAACTGGAAAGTTATTAATTTTTTTTGTTTTGTTTCACATTTAATCTTTCTTGTTGGTCCCACATAAAATCCCAATAAATTACATTGAAATTTGTGACTGAAATATGAGAAATGTGGACAGGAGCAAGAGGCAAACAATGGCTCAGTGTCTTAGTTCAGACAATTTTCATGTGTCCTGTGCTTTGCTTTCATTAGTCAGTCTGATGCATTTTGCCAATCAAGTCCAGGACTCTGGATCAGATTTCCAACTGTATTGTTCTTTATCTTGTATACAAATTTTGGTGTAGAAATAGGTAAAGAGATATAATAAAGCCATGAAGAAATTAACTCTCCAATTAATACTGTTTCTGAAAAGAGAAAAATATCTCTATTACACGCATTGCTCCAAATGTATCTATTCAAAAGAAAGATATTTTGGCAAAATATGTCTCTAACCAAATGTTTTTCTTTTTCTTTTGTAAATCATAGTACTTTTATAGTACTTATTGAGGCTCACACTCAACTGTGCAATACAAATATGTCATGTCCTTTATTAAAGATTCAGACTATATAAACTGAACTCCTAATGCTTGATTGTTAATATGGCTGGTTTTAGGGATGACTTATTATCTTGACTGAGGGTTTAAGAACTTTGATTGTAACACAATCTTATAAGGCAGAGAGAAGACTGTAAGATAAGACTTTAAGCTTAAGAAAACTTGAAAAAAAATGTATCTCATGAAGAATAGAGAGGAGTGTAGAGTCCATTTTTGGTTTTATGTCACTGTGTAAGTAAGGATAAACCGGCCACTGATGTCCAGGTGTGAACAACAAACTCTGGTTGTTGCTTCTAATTGAAATGTGAGTTTTTTGGTTTTATTGCATATTGTTTTTCTTTCTTTTCTTTTGCTGTTGAATTTTGTTTATCCAGAGCCAAAGCCTTAGTAGAAGAACAACGCCTTTTACCCCTAGGGTCCAGGTAATGGGCCCTGTAAGAAGGGCACACACTATCTCTTTGGTTTTTGCTCACTTACTGTCGACTGGCTTTTCCTCCCATGTTTTTTGGGAAATGCATTCTTGGGGGAAATCTTAGCATCAAATTTCCCTCTCTAAGGAGTGCATTGTTTGTTCTTTTTCTTCAGTTTGATGTGTTGGTTTCAATTGATTCTTTAGTTATTTCTCATTTTAACCCCATTCATGTCATTATTCCCTTGTACTACAATGCATGCTGAACTAAACTGATCAAATTTTAAAAGGTTCCTGTTCCTTTTTTAGTGATCAGCTCCAAGCTTGATCATTTTGGCATTGACAATCAAAGAGGCTTTTTCCACGAAGTCTCAGTCTCAGATTTTTTTAATCCACAGAAGAATAACATAGTCTTGTGTATAACAAAATAGAAATAAATTTGCAAAGGCTCAAAGATTAAGACGGGTGGTTGGTTTCATAGGAGAGGAGCCTGATAATGACTAGATCTGCCTCCGAATTCTACTTTTAGAAATTCAAGGAACCACAAGTAAACCAGCAGATTGAGAATTTATACTTTGAAATTAACTTTCAAAACACTGATTTAGAGTTTTTCAGGCATTTAAAAAATATGCCTTCCGGTTCTTCTTTGGACTTTCATTGTCTTCCCTCATAAAAAAAAAAAATGTGCTTGAGCTTAGCATCATCAACTGTTAACTGTGGACATTCTTGAAGCCATGAGCTATATGATCAGCCATAACACCGCTATGAATAACTGCCAATATCCTGTCCAGGAGGCCCGACCTTCCAAAACGCTTTCCTTGAGCCTCATTAGTCCACAAACTTTGAAAGTATTGACCTTCTTTTCAGAAAAAAATGTGAGATAGGTCCTTTGTCTTTTTTTTTAAAAAGTAGTGGTTCTGATTTTAAAATTCATGTTTGCCCAGTCCATTTCCTCTCATTGAATTGTGAACATTGAGCTTAACTCTTGGAGATGAAGCCAGCAAAGCTTAAATCTGATGTCAGCCAGTCCTGAGGAGATTCAACTCTTTCAATGTTTCTTTCATCTGTTGATAATGACTCACTGTGGTTACCTGGAACCCAACAGCCTCAGGAATGGATTTGCACTGAAAGGTGTCATGAATTTATTAATCATATGTTCTTGCTTTGCTTCTCTTTTTTTAAATCTTTATTTCTTTATTGTTCAGTCTTTTCCACATTGTCAGACAGATTATGTGTTAGGAGTTTATTTTGTTTCTTAATTTTAGGTCAGAAATTAGACCTGATATTTTGGCTAGCAAAACTGAACTATGGGTTAATTAGCTCTTAATTGGAGGGAAGGTTTTAGCTTTATTTAGGTGCAGTTAAGTACAGTAAGGATAACGTGTTACTTGACAAATGGCATCATCTGAAAACCAATTTATGTGAAGATCTGCAACATATAAATCCAACAAAGCAGTAGAATCTGATGTTATCTGTAATTGAGCAACTATGACCTTTGCACATGCTCAGCTTTTTGGGATTTTAACTAACAGTATACACTTCACAGAAAAATATTTTGTAGTCTTTCTAACCAGGGGCACAGTTCATGTGTCTAATGCAGCATTTGTTTAAAAAAATAATAATAATTATGGGATTTGAAGCAAAAAAATGTCATGGGGAAAAAAAAATAAAACGGGTTATTTTTAGAGATTTTCACTGATTCAGATGATCCTCGGTTTATAAAGTTTTCACCTGTCAATTCATAGATTTATTTTTTCAGAAATTGTTTTAATAATTATATATGAAGATTATTTCAATCAAAAATTTTTTTCTCTCTGATTCTTCCTGTTGTAATTTTTCATTATTGGGATTTCTTATTTACAGAAGAGGATTAGGGCCACTGAAAAAATAAAAAAGTTAACTGATTTTTAAATATTATTTGTGTTTAATATGTGAAAAAAGTCAGAATTTTGACTTTAATCCCAGAATTCTAACTTTAACCTCATTATTCTGACTTTTTTCTCAGAATTCTGACTGAATTTCGACAGCTATCAAACATGTTAGCATCAAGCCGTAGCCATGTCTATAGAGACTAAACTAGCTCTCTTCTTTTAATCACCTTCTGCTCTTCTATTAATGAAATAGCATCACTGGGAACCCCTCCCTTATACTCACCTTATACTGTCATTTTCCACCAATGTGTTACTGGCCCTCCCAAATAACTTGCATCTTTGTCAGTGAAGCTGAGTGCTCCCACATCTCTTCTTTCATGGTGCCCTTTAAGATTAGGATCCCAAATTCTGAGAATAAAGTCAGAATTCTGAGATCAAAGTCAGGATTCCATATAAAACAGAAAAATTAAAAAATCGGTTAACTTTTTTTTTTTTTTTTTCAGTGGCCCTAATCCTCTTCCATACTTATTAGAAACAATGATTTCCCAACATGCATTAAAAATAGCACTAACTTTAAAACAGAGGTTTAAGAATAGTGTGAACTGAATTTGAAATTTTATATTAGCAATTAGCATTGTAGGTGCAGTTAGTGTTAATTGTCTTTGTATTGTTTTTTTTAATTATTACCTAGAAATGCAGATCTAACCTTTGATTTTTAGACTTCCAAAAGAGCTTATTCCACAGTAGACACAGCTAAGAAGAATAACAAAGAAACTTTGCTGTGGCACATTAAGTTTTCCTGGTATCACCTGAAGGCAGCTCCAGGGCCAAAGTGACCCATCGCCACTTCTGTCCTCAGAAAATCTGCTAAACTATGCTTTTTCTTTCCAAAAGTGCAACATTTGTAGAAAATTAAAATGACCAACACACACTGAAGTCTAGGTCTTTTTGGATTATTTTTAAATAGAGTTTGTTTAGATTGATCCTTTGAATAGGTAACTTTGATCCTTCATTCTGAAGTAAAAAACATCACAATTAAGAGTGTTTTAGTTAGCATAATTTGACCATGAATTTATACTATAGCACATTCTGCTTTGCTCCACTCAGCTAGTTATGATTCATTTAATTGCTTTAAAAATAGAAAATCAGCCGATTTTTGGTCACTATGTTCAAGTTAATCTCACCGTACAGGAATGTCCATTTTCACAGTTCTGTCTCCTGCACCTTTTCAGATACGTCTCTTCCTCTACACACCTAAATTAAATGGCTGAAGCTTCTTCTGGATGCAATAAAGTTCTCCAGCCCTGATAATGACCTAAATATTTGACTCTGCAGTGTCGAAACAGAAACATTTAAAAAGTGTAGAACTTAATTTATAGGACTGGATTTAAGGTAAATTGGGCTTCATTTTAACTACATTAATTCACTAAATGAAAGGGGGAAAAAAATCTTTAAATACTTCAGAAAAATTTTCAAAAGGGATTTATAAATTGTTCTTCTTTTTCCTTTTTAAAGCCAGATAAAGACCTTGCAGTTTGTTATAACCTTTTTTTTTGCCTCAGTGAACTTTAGGTGTCTTTATCTAATCCTCTCGCATTGCTGCATGAAAGATGGTATTTGTAAACAATGGACTCCCTTTCATGATCATATTTTGAACGAAGTATGGACAAACGTTTTGAAGCCTTGTTTCTCATTTCATCTGCTGTTCTTAAGGCTTCAAGAAAACTTTTCCATCTTTTGAGTGTCTTTCACTGGAGTCCATCCTTCCCCTTTAACTTAATCAGCATGATTGATTTCTATATACAAATCACTGATGGTTATCCACAACAACTGAATCAATAAAAAAAAATCTATGGTATATATTTTATAACACAATACTTTAAACTTTAGTTTATATAAGTTAAAATAGCATTATGAGTATTGGTATTCATCTATACTGATGGTTTTATGACACATTTAGGTAAAAAAAAAAGAAGATAAAGGATGTCAGGGTTTGGTTGAGGTTTTGAGGACCCAAATTCAGAGGTGATGAGGTAGAGGTGAGTTCTTGTAGATTTAATGAAATATCTGAAGCAAAAATCCAAAAACCAAAGTACAAAATACAAGGAACCAAATACCAGACTATTTTAGGGGAAAACTCACGTGGGGAGCCAGGAAAAGACAAGGAACCAGCACTGAGGAACTCCACTGCGAGAGTATAATGGGAAACAGAACAAAGACAGGACTAATGAGCTGATTGGGAGCAGGTGTGAACAGAGGATTCTAGAAAGGAGCCAGGGAAAAGGAGACCAACACAAGAGGGCAGCAGAGGGCAAACAAGAAAAACCAAGGAACTCAAATACATCCAAAAAAAACTAGAAAACAATGAAAAACATGGATCAAAGTGAAACTAAATACTCAAAAGAAAACTTAAACAGAACCAAAATGGTGACAAAAGGATTAACATCGACAATGGATAACAATGAGAACAATACCTTATTTATTAGGATTTTGTTTTATAAACAGGAGAAAAGATCACATAAGAGTTTGTGTAAAGGACTCTACTTTGTATAGATCTATTCAGTTTAGGTTTGACTCTCTAAAGGGAAAATTACATAGATTTTAAATCAGAGTTCCTCAAATCAAGTTGTACGACATCAAAATGATCAGATTTATCTTTACAGCAGATAGGAAACTTCAAGACATTTGCAGTATTCTTGCGCTGCTTCTGAATCATTTATATCTGTCCAATCAATGTATAATTTAAAAATGCAAAATGCTGCCATGTACAGTGATTTCAAAACTAATAAAATCAGAACCTGAAAAATTTCGAGGTTTTGAATTTATTATTAAAATGTATCAATACAACTCTAATTAAAACTGAATTTGTTAGGATGACGTTACATGTTGACGCATTACTTTTAATATGTTAAAATTGTGTTTGGTTGTTGAAATCTCAACAAGAATCTAATGAATATATATATATAGTATATAATATATATAACCCTATATAGCTATATAAGGGTAAACTTTTTTGGGGGGTCAGACTTAGATTTTTTTAAGAATAAAAACAACAATTTAAGAAATTACTTTAAAAAATAAATGAAAAAGCTTTACTAATAGTTTTTGGCACATATAAATTTCTACACAATCCAAAAAAGCTGGTTCAGTTTTAAAAGTGATGCTCCTGGCAATATAAGCAGCAACTTGTAGAATGAATAATAGTTTATAGGAAATAAGAAATCTGAAGAAAGCAAAGTAAGATAAGTATTCTGCTTAATGCACAAACTTAATATCCTTTAAGCAACTTCCTCTTTGCTCTGATGGGAAGATAAACGTGAAGATCCAGTATTGAACCCAAACACTGATTAAAAACAGACGGTCGTTACACTCAGTGAAGGAAGACACAGATTGAGGCGTACTAACCTCTGCTCTGGTGTGATGAAGTCATCTCCTGCATTAAACCCTCAGTTTTTTTCTTTTTTTTTGTTTCTTTGCTTTGTTATGTTTGTATTTAATTTGTTCTTTTTGGTTCCTGATGATGTCTCAGCATCTTTTGATGGCTCTGCCCCCTACAGGTCAAACTCTGGTATGACAAAGTGGGTCATCAGCTTATTGTAACTATTCTGGGTGCCAAAGACTTGCCACCAAGGGAAGATGGCCGTCCCAGGAACCCTTATGTCAAAATCTACTTCCTGCCTGACAGAAGGTAAGACTAACATAACTTGGTGGTATCTAATGTCAGTTGATATGATGCAGATTCATTGAATTAACTAAATGTTATGAAATATTACACTTTGTTCGGGTGTTTTTAATGTATAGTAGATCATTATTTGCTGTTGAATTTTTTGACCTGTTGACATCACAAGCTTGTGTGCATTTTCTTGTTCCTATCATTAAAAGCTGGAAGAATATGTGCGTGTTTTAATTCAGAGTGTTGGATGTGAACCTTAAAGCTTTTACATTTTTCTTAAGTGTAGCTGGATCATGCAAGAGTTTTTTTGTTAAGCATCAGTGCAGTAAATAATCTTTTTCTCTCATAATGAGCATGTCGTGGTGCTGCGTTCAGTGTCCTGTGCTGTGCAGTGTCGTTTAATTCTTGTATTCGCGGCTCTTCTCTATAAAGGTTCTAAATAAAAACAGTCTGAATTATTGTTCCTCCAGTGATAAAAGCAAGAGGAGAACAAAAACAGTAAAGAAATCCTTAGAGCCCAAATGGAATCAGACCTTTATGTATTCGCCGGTCCACCGGCGGGAGTTCCGCGAGCGAATGCTGGAGATCACGCTGTGGGACCAGGCCCGGGTCAGGGAAGAGGAGAGTGAATTCTTGGGAGAGGTAAGGAAGTCAAAGGTCAACGCCTTCCACTGTCAAACGATGTGATCATGTGTTGAATTTCAAGCATTTTAACTCTCCATCACGTCAGACAGATGGCTCACCCAAAGACGATACACTATTTGTCCTTTTAGTTTGCTTTAGATTAAAACAATTCAGATCATCCCTTTTTTTTTGTTTTACTTATTTATACAATCTTTCAAAAGTTAGCTGTATTAATTCATAGTCACACTAACTTCTCGTAACTCTAGATCTAAGTTATAAATGAATCGATTTTTGTTTTTTTAAAATATACTGACCTGTAAACTGCAGCAGAGAGACAACAACTATCATTAAACATTTGAATTTACACAAATAATGATGAAGCATATATAGATAATTTACTAAATTCAATAAAACTACGAATGTTGTTTTGTCACTGGATAATTTATTCATAGAACATGAAAAGATCCTTATTTCTTAGAAGAGATAAAAGATCTGGCTTTAAACCAGGTAACCAGCCATGCTCTCTGCTGACCAACAGAGGTGTCAGAAATACTCACTTTCTTTACTGAAGTAAAAGTAAAGAAACCTGCGTAAAAATAAACTCTGGTAAAAGTAAAAGTACTTATTAGATTTAAGTAAAAATGTAAAAGTACAGGTTCTACATTGCACTTAATTACTAAGTACTAATTACTTATTTACTGATGTAAAATTAAGTTAAAATCTCTTCTTAAAAACAGTTATATGAACAAAAAAGACTTTGATTTCCCTCTTTTGCTCAATGTTTTGGTAGTGAGAATATTTGGAAATAGTAACGTGGTTTAGTTTATTCCAAATCAAAATTTCAGACAGGATGATATACATTTAACGCAACATAAGTTCTGCTTAAGCTTTTAAATACTTTTAGAGCTCTGATATTTACAGCATTAAAGTAGCAAATAGAGCTTTAAACATAACAAACATGTAAAAGTAAAATCTAATAAAAGGTAATTGTCATGTGTCTAACAATTAGATCTATCCTACGTTATGGTCTCCAGCCCCTCGTCTTCATCCTTGCCTTTTCTATGAACAAACTTTGCAAACTGGAAAGTAGAAATATCTGGGTTCAAATGTTGGGAGTAAAAGTAAAAAGTCCTCAGAAAAATAAATACTGTAAAAAAGTACATATAGTGGAAAAAGCAACTTGATTATGGTAACTAACTATTTATATTTAATTACTTGACACCTCTGCTCACCAAGCAATACTAGATCTTCCTCATAAATTAAAAGATATGTCAGACTTTTTATTAAGGGATTTCCTCTGATCAATATGGTTCTGTACAGTTGATAAATGGTTTAGTTTCTCATTTTAATGACCTGAAGTTGCTGATGTAATGTCCAAAAAGCATTTTTGTACAGTTAGAAATGATTCATATACAAATAATTTTTAATTTTCACTTTCCCTGTTTATTGGATGTTTAATGGTTTGGTTCATATTTTCTTGAAGAATCAAGATCAGGATGTTTTTGAGTTCAGTTTCTGTTTCTTTTTTGGTCTGCATAAAACATTAAGTCATATATAAATAGATACATTCAAACAGTTTTCAAAAAAGGTCTTAGAAATTCAGAAATATTTTATTTTCACTCTATGATTAAATACCATATTTGGTCATATGTCCTTTTTGGAAATCTTGGGACTTTTTCTCAGATTTAAAATAATGTTTTGGTCTCAGATTTAGTCCAGTAGAATGGAAAATGTTGAAAAATTACCAAACTTTACTGCTTAGTTTGCTCAAAGAAACTGTATTTCAGAAGTATTATGGGCAAAAACTTCTCATTGGTGTCATTTTAAGGAGATAGTACAGGAATTTTTTCTTTATTTTCTTTTTTTTTTTCTAACCTGACTTTTATTGTGTCTCAACATCTAATTTCCACTCCACAAGATGTAAATTCTCTAAATCTTTTGATTGAGAGAAAAATATTAGATAATTTGTTGCTATATAAAACACCTACAGAATCGCAAAAAATCCCATGATCTATCACTTAATGAAGCGATTTCCTCCGTTAGATCCTCATCGAGTTGGAGACGGCTCTCTTGGACGACGAACCTCACTGGTACAAGTTGCAAACACACGACGTGTCATCCATGCCACTGCCACGTGCCTCCCCAAATTCACAACGCAGGCAGCTCCACAGCGAGAGCCCAACGCGGCGGCTGCAGAGTGAGTCCATTCAGTTACACACTAGTATTGTCACTAAGCATTCATCAAGTGCTCTGTTTGACATAATAAAAAACCTTGTTTATACAATTAAGATTTTAAATGAGTTGATTTCTCATCTGCATGGTATGGATGATGATGCAATATATATATATTTTTTTGTATCTTCTGTTATGCATCAACATTACTGCTTTTGCTTTACAGCCAAAGGCTCATATTCGTATGACTCAGGTAACAACCCAGTGTTACTTGGCCTTGCTGCTCTGTGGAGAACCCTGATGTTCTTCTTTCCCCTTGAAACACGCATCCCTGTGCTTGACTTTCCATTTTTATTCCCTAAGGAGCGCATGTTTCTGCTGCCTTATATGGATTTCCAGATGAAGAGCCTATGTAAACTTACACTGCTTCAGAATCGACTCAGGATAGCAGACACATGCGCACACCAGGGAGGCAGAGATTTAGGACGCAGTACTTTATCTCCCCTCTGTCTATCCACCTATAAACTACCCTACAATCCTCTAACGCATCCATTAATTTAGATGAATTTTATGATTAACTATTAGTCTCATTTGGCTCCACCTGAGTTCTCCTTTCCTGTGTTTTGTAGTTGTGATTTAGTAATTGAGGTTTTCCCATTTCCAAGTGCTTTAAATGGCTTAACAAACTCTTGCTGAGATTTGTTTGGTGTTTCTTGAATGTTTTTCTTTTTTTTTAACAATTACAGGGATTAATCACTATAGGTCTGTTAATCAAAGACTGCAAAAACGAAGGGATAGATTGCATTGCACATTGTTCATCAGTACTTGCAATTAGTGGCTGTGTTGCAAGTGGTCTTTAAAGATTGCTAAGCAGATGTTAAAAAGCGCAAACCAGTTTAAGCCCGCCCCATTATAATGAGGCGGTTTCATGCTGTTTGAGAGGTTCTAAGCAATGTAGCTAGAGTTTATAATAATAAAAACTTATTTATAAAATAATAATTACAATGGTGAGTAATTTAATACAATACTTTACATAGGCAGCCTTTCTCTAAGTCTATGAACAAACAAAAGTAAAATATAAGATGATGAAATGAACCAAAGTTGATATAAAGAATAAAACATGAGAAAGTTGTCTCTGTATCTGTGTCCCCCCCACATACACAAGGTTCACGTGTCCTAAAAAGGTAACCTGACAACAGCCAGATGCATGTCTCGCTCCGCCTACTGTAGCTCCACTCACATACATCTGGGAACCCGCCATAGGAATTGCCTTTACTGAAGGCTGGGCCTTATCAAAACTCCTTGCATATGATTGGATAAGCCACTTGTCTGTCATCTTTATTGACGTGCTATTTCAACCACTCACACCGAAGCTAACCCGTGACGCTGTGAGAGGAGGAGCCATTTGGTAGATCAAGCTCTTGCCAAATCCGGTCGGGAGGAGGGCGAAAACATCGTTTCCACCAACAAAAGCCTTTAAAGCCGTTCTCTGATGTTCTTTTAATGCAGTGGTTCCCAAAGTGTGGGGCGCGCCCCCTAGGGGGGGCGCAATGCCATTGCAGGGGGGGCGCGGGAAGCGGTATGGATGAATGAAGAAAAAACAAACAAAAAAAAAACAGCGCTTGCTTGACTGAGCATAATGGACAGTTGTGACACTGCAACCCAGATTTGAGAAGATCTACAGCAAAAAGCAGGCTCACTACAGCCACTGAAAAGATGGGAGGATTAAAGTACAAAGAAAAAACTCTCAGGGAGCTGTTCAATGTTTTCACTCCATTTTGCACAGAGGCTTTTTTAATGTATAGATTATAGCAAAGTTAAATATTGTTACAAATTAAAAAAAAGAAATATGTTTAAAATAACATAGACAACAAAGAATCCTCTTCTAATCTACAGTATAGAACTATGAAAAAAATACAGTTACACAAAAGTGTTCCACTGTAAAGATGGTGTAGTTTATTTTGTTGCAACCTGAAGTGTGAAATAAACTTCATTGGAGTTTGAAAACAAAATATGTGTATAGGTTTATTATATCTGGTTGAACGATGGGTGTGCCATGTTATGGGGGGGGCGCGGAAATTTTATTGTAATCCAAAGGGGGGCCCAGAAGAAAATCTTTGGGAACCACTGTTTTAATGAAACAATATCAGATAAATTGGACAACACAGAAGAAATAGCAGCATCAATGCTAACGCTTGCTTCCTCAATGCGAGCCGCCATTGTTGTTGGAATATCACGGTCGCTTCTCCACTCCAGGACACACCCGCCCTGCGTCCTGATTGGACAGACCATAAATTCGGTTGGGGAAATCACTTTCAATGAGCGGGTTCCCAGATGTATGTGAGTGGAGCTGGGCGGAGCGAGACATGCATCTGGCTGTTGTCAGGTTAAAAAAGGTGCAATCGCATAAAATATAACAGTGCTTCGTGCTTTGTTGAATCAAGGGAGAAAAAAAACTCCCCTTTGTGAGTAGATGCACACTTTCCTGTGTCTCTTTGGATGTTCTTGAATGGCGTAAATTTTCTGCCAAAAGCCACACAGACAATGAATACTCCTACGAAAAGCTTTACTTCATACAGACACTCATAAACTACTCATGTTTAACATGTTAGATGTGCAAACAGAATCCCATAGGCACCAATATATCACAAACATTAGTGCTTTTTCCTTATCTGCATGATTGTGGTTTCATTTCAACACGCGCACCAACCTCCTCTTCACATGTAGACCTGTTTCTACTTTCTCCTGTCAACTTTTGTCACTTTGAAGGCATTACCCAATGGACCAAGAAACCTGCCTGTGATTGGCTACTTTTCAGGAAATCATGCATCTTGAGTTGTGACGCATTGCCAAAGTAACCAGCATAAACTGTGGCCGGTTCTCAATTAACAAGAACGCAGGTACGGACTCATGTCCTCGCCAAGTATGTTCTTGAGAAGAACACGGGAAAGTGTGGACTCTGGGAGAACAGGAGCACGCAGTATAAATATGGGTCGTCACCACATGCTCAGACCGTCTGGAGCTGCATATCACCTCCTGTTATTAATAGTCTCTAGATTATAATAAATTACTTTTTTCATTTATTGGTGGAATAATAATGAACACAGTCAGATAAAAACAAAACATTTTACCAAATAAAACAAAAAAATTGCCATCAGAGCCAGTGGCCCTTAACACACAGCTATGCTGATTGAGGGCTGCTGCAGGCGGACTCAAATTAGCCCTGGCTGCCGTTAGCCTCGGAGGAATGCTGGTTGCCTCGGTCCTCTCAACATCGTAACTTTTTTTTAATTACGCAGTAAATCAGCAAATGGGCCATAAAGTGACGCTTAAAAGTATAATTTCCCCAAATCAAATGATCCTAAAACTTACTTTTATAGAACAACGGCAACAAAAAAGAGAACTTTTAACTTAATACTCTGATATCCGTGAGCGCTTAAGGGCTGGGTATAATCCCCACAGCAGTCTGCTGTGATGAGCTTGTCACAGATATTTTGATTTATGTCCAATATTGATAGACCAATATTCCACACAACAATGCAGGAGGGACAATTATGAACTAGCTGTGGGTCTAGATATGGCCAGGGTGATGAGGAAGTGGGAGCCAGTTTGTCCAACATCGGAAGGACATGAGGGTGAAAAAGAGTGTGGATCCAGGTAGAAAAAGGGTCCCAGCGTTCTCGCGCACCTCGCTCTTCTAGCTGGTCCGTCTTCACGAGTCATTTTCCACAATGGCGGTCATACAAATAAAACAAGCTGATAAGGTACCAAACAGGAAATACGCATAGTGTAGAGTGAATGTAGATTTGACCAATCAGAGGCCTCCTGTCTGCGGCACTGTCTGCGGTCACCTACATTCTTTTGAGGACCAGAATGTTCACATTCTAGATACAGAAAATAGGTGGTTTGAGAGGGGCGTGAAGGAAGCCATCTATGTTAAGAGAGAAAAACCAACTTTAAACAGAGGTGGTGGACTCAGATTCCAGCTTCCAAAAACATACAATTCAATCACAGACATGATCCCTTCCAGATATCACCAAACCCCCCACCCCACCACAGAGGAACAAGGGACCTACTCGCTCCAGCCGGTGAACAATACCTCCTTAAAGACCGACTCTTAACAATCATAGACAGGTTTCAGATATTACAGGCTAACGATGGAACCAAACGACCCATCCATCGGTTACCATTTGCATGTTTCCAAGCAATACAAGGCCTTGTCTATATAAGACTCAAACTCACTGCGGATCCCGACATTTAAATTGAGAAACCTTCCTGGAGAGGTGGCGAGACGTCTTCAAATCTTGGAAAACAAGTCCAGTGGATATTTTTTTTAATTTTTATGGAATCAATACCCGTTATTCATCCAGTCAATGTTATATCTAATGATGACTTTGCTTCCAACTTCCAACTCTAGAAGAGAAGCAGTTAGCCTGAAGTTGCTTTGCTTAGGGTGACCATATTTTCATTTGGGAAAACCAGGACACCTTGGAGCGGGGGGTGGCGGCAGGGGGGATCTCTGTTCCCATGCATAGAGACGTCTGTGGCATGCACTCACTTAACATAGGCCTATGTAATCCTAACGTATAACATGATATTTACAGTTGGTTTATTAAAAATGCTTTTCAGTAAAAGTCAACAGCAATAACTCCAATAACAAATGATTTTATTCAAATGTATTTATTAAAAAATGCTTAACAATTCCTGTAATGAATGAATAGCAAAATGAAAGAAATAATGTCTCATCTAAACATCCCTCACTTAACACTAAAAGTTAACAATAACCCTCAACTCCCAATAACAGATGATACTCAGCCTCAGTAATGAACATGTTCTGTAGGCTATTGGAAAAAATAAATTAACAAATCAGCCAATTAACAAAAAAATACCTCTTGTGTAGCAAAAATAACTCAAAATGTACCAAAAATGAACAAACATATCAATAGACTATCTTTACTTTCGGAGTCCAGGTGGCTTTTCAGATCCCTTGCACCTCCATTGGACACCGAGACATATGTGCCTGCTTTGCACACTGTGCACAAGGCCTCCCATTTGTCTTGACCCGGTCTGAAAGCGGGGAAACTCTTTTGTAAATCGTCGGTAAACATACATTTGCGCTTTGGCATGTTGTTGGCGTACTGACAGCCACGTTATCTATCTTCCGATTAAGAACAGGGCTTCCCGCACTGACGCGGCTCAGGGATTACGTCACACGCAGCGCAGTGCGCAGTGCCCTAGTGCCTGTAAATTTTTATGGTCCAATGAAGGTAATTTAAAAAACAGGACATTTCCTCACTTTCTAAAAAAATTCGGGACGCCCGGGACAGGACGCGAAATACAGACATGTCCCGGGAAATACGAACGTTTGGTCAACCTAGCTTTACTAGTAGGAAGAAAAGTACAGCCTAAAGAGGTGGGATATCCTGGAAAGTAGCCAATCACAGGTGGGATGCTTTGTCCGAACTTTTTGCAAAAGTCACCAGATTTTTTGGCAGAATACTATACATTTTCTTTTTATATCTATCTTTATATAAATATACCTAAGTATGAACTGAACACTGTGTGTATTTCGACTGGATTTTCTAGTTAGGTCCTTTCCAAGCTTTTAATGTTAGAAATATAATTTTGTATTAGACATACAAGTCATGGAATATCTAAATGGGTTCCAACATTCTGATTTTGACATTTTTGTTTTAAATGCTTTATTTTGAGAGTGATTATCGATTGCATTTGTGATTAAATATGTTGCTATACATGATTTTACGTCAGTTGACCTATATACTGCCTTCCTGTTGTTTTCAGGGAGCAGCTTAATTATTCAATGCATTTCAAAAATACTTAATTAATCCCAAAGGGAAATCAAATAACCAGCTTGATTGTTTTAATAGTAATGACAACAATTATTGTTAACTAAAACATATAACGCATGATCATTTTATTTTTTGCCATTTTAAAAGTATGGCACCAACATATCTATCTAAACCTTGACCTAATTTCACTGCAGCTAATGCATTAAGGCCTGTAAGCTAACTAATGGTAGAAATTCACACTCAAAAGGCAGCACCTAATATATGGACAGACTTTCTGTCATTTGAGTCTGTCTAAACTCTACTTCAACTATATGCTCTTAATTTCCTTCAGAAGCATACTTTGTCTATTTCTACACAGATTTATTATATTAGCTTTTTCTTTTTCGTAACTGGTTAAATGTTTTATTTATCTTTATCCATATTTTACTGAGGAAGGAACGTCTGGTTTTATAGTTTGTTCAGCTGTTTGATCAACAGTTGCTTTTTAAAAAATTCTGTAGAAATAAATGTTGACTTAACTCAAACTTAAAACTGGGACAGTTTATCCAAAACATTTAAGATATAGAACAGCCATCTTTATATATATATATAATAAAAAGCTGGATATGTTTATGTTTTGCTTTCACAACAGCAAGTTCTACTTTCACACACTTATGTGCATAGTTATTTATATGCAATCTTTAAATAACTCACTTTGGAATGATAAACTGGAGGTGAAGTGTTTTGGATTTATAGCAGATTTAAACACAGGCCTCTCCTGTTTTTCCTTCATCTCACCTTTCCTGTTTGTTTCCGTATTGTGCAGGATCCCAGCGGATAAGTGACAGCGAGATATCAGACTATGATTGTGAGGATGGAGTAGGAGTTATAACAGGTGAGTAACAGGGTCTTATTATAAAGTTGATCAAAGGGGAGATGTCAGAACTAAGTTTATTGAAGGCAGTTTGGATGAGCAATTCCATTTTTTTAAATTTATAGTGTCTCTTTGTTAAATATTTGTAAATATCTGAGTCCGTATTTATCTTCTTGTGCTCTAATGACTCTTTTACCTAAACAGTGTTTTAACTTTGTATAGGTACCTTATTAGACCGATAAAATGCTGCAGCCCATCAGTGGAGAGAGAGGGAGGAACTTTAACTTGCAAAGCACCACGCGTAGCTTTTGTCTTTTCTTACTAGTTATATGTATAAAGAAAACATTAATTCAAAGTGCACATGCACAATAAATACCCACACTAGATGTTTTATTTAAAACTCACACACGTCAACTACTTTCCATGCACATTTTAAACGTTCTATGCATGCAGATCGAGTACCAGAAGTCACCTAATATATCAGAAGCATGAGTTCATGCTATTTCTTTGCACTTGTGTTCTTCTTATGCCTTTCTTGTCACTTTGAGGCTGAAACCAACCTGAGAAAGTAAACTGTTTGTGATAGGCAGACCGTACTGGTTTCATTCTAGTTGCAGCTAATAACGTTAGCGGAACATCTACAGGCTGATAGCTGTTCTCATAAACAGCAGGGATGACTTCATGTCCAACAGCCATCGCTGTCATTAACTGACATTTTTTTATAAGAACAATGTTTGACACTTAAGCTAAACTCTGAACAGTAGCAGCAAACTAAATGTAATTTTCTGTATTCAACTATGCTGGTGAAGATTTTCAATCATCCAGGTCATAGTCATTCCAAAAAAGTAAAAAAACAAGTTTGAAGAAGACGTTTCGCTTTTCATCCAGGCAGCTTTTTCAATTCAAAATGTCAGGAATAGAGTTGAGTTCAAGATTTTGTACAGAAGCCCAACAAAGTCTTTAGAAAACATGCAAATTGAACCGGACAAATGGCTTCCAAACAAATGGCTTCCAAACGACACCCATCCCTTTGGAATGGGCGTCGTTTGGCTCTTTTGTTAGCCTGCAATGCCCCATATCTGTCTATGTTTCTGAAATGGATATCGTTAAAGAGAATTGTTGGCCTGGCTGAATAAGCAAGGTCTTCTGGTCCCCTGTAAAGGGATTGGGGTTGCAATGATAGCGGGAAGGGATCAACTTAATTGCTGCATTGTAGGTATTGGTATTGAACTATATACAAAATTCTATTCTAGCCTCACTGTCAGGTTGAGTGGAGGCTTTGAGAACCCAAATGCAGAGATCAATAGGCAGAGCTGAGTTTTGCTGATTTAATGAAATAATCACAGGCAGCTGAGGCAAAAATCCAAGATAACGAATATAGACAAATCCAGAATCAAGAAGACATCAGGGAACACTTACATAAGGAGCCAGGAAAAGACGAGGAACCAGCACTGAGGAACTGCACAGAGAGAGTATATATGGGAGACAGAACAAAGACTGGAATAATGAGCTGACAAGGAACAGGTGTGGATTGAAGCATCTAGAACAAGGGTGTCAAACTGGTTCCAGAAATGGCCGTGTGGCTACAGGTTTTCTTTCCAACCAAGCAATAGCAAAACAGACTCCATTCATCTCATCAAGTCATCATGTTCAGATTGGACTCGCTTGATGAGATGAATGGAGTCTGGTTTGCTATTGCTTGGTTAGAAAGAAAACCTCCAGCCACACTGCCCTTTCTGGAACCAGTTTGACACCCCTGATCTAAAAGGAAGCCAAGGGGAAATGAGACAAACACAAGGGGGGAACAGAGAGAAATTCCAGAAGAAAACGCTGTTAGAAAACAACTCCAATAAAAATAAGATAAAAATACACTTAAACAGAGGGCAGAACCCTGACACTCAGTTTCCTCAATATAAACAGGTAGGCTAACTTTAGCATTGCTCACACAAAGTTCCAAATTTAATATGAATAATTTTAGATGTTTAAATCCAAAGCCGAAAAAGTCCCAGGTTCCCATTTCAGGTACAAATTCGGCACAGACAAGTGATAAAACATAAAGGATTTTAAAGCTACAGTGTGTAATTTTCAGCAATATCTAGCGTCCAGACTGCAGACCGCAGCAACATGAACATCTCCCCCCCACCGCTTCTCCCCCCCAACAGTACGGCTAGCGTTACAGGACAAAATGTCTTCCACGACGTCCGCTTCACCTACCTTCTCAAGTGATGAGGTTTGTTTACATAGATAATTTTAATACTGCCATCTATTGTTCAGTACCGTCTCAGTTCATCTCTCTCAACTTGCCGTAGTTACTTTCGAGCGTAATGGGCGATCTCGCAATCGCTAGTTTGTTGCCTCTGCGCTTGCCGTAGCGCAAAGATGTCTGCCTCCATGGCTGCGAGACCCGCTCCTATGTAATTATAAATAACGAATTCTAAGGCAACGCAAATATTATGGTTAAAAGGCTGAGCTCGTAGATGATGATAAATAACATAGTTATGTATAATATATTACATTTCTGACTGTATATCCCTGTAATTATTACACACTGTAGCTTTAAGGCAGGAAATACATTATTAACCTTTAACACATTGTAGTTTAGTACGCTTACTATTTTTAGGGAGGGAAAATGTAATTTAGGTCTTTTTTACAAAGTAAAATCGAGGGTGACCCGGATGTTTATTTGGTTACGGAATGAGCTGATGGAACGGATCTAGCTACCAGTAGTAGCTTCCGATAAGTATCAGGTAGTGACAATTTGACATCAGCGCACAGAAACAGGTCCACACACGAGTAGGAGAGAATCTGCATGGGAATAAAAAGCAAGAGAGCAGAGAAAGAGCAGGCTCCTCATGTCTGAGACACATTGCGGGCCTCTAGGTATTTGATCTGCATGCATAAAACATTAGAAAAATCTCCTGGATAGTAGTTTAAGTCTGTTTAAAATAAAACTGGTTATGAGTATTTTTGGCTTAATTTTGATTTGATATATGCCAGAATATTTCGAAAAAGAATTACCTAAAGACTTTTTCATTGTTATTTTCTCCAGGAAAAAAAACAAACATTAAATATGAGGAGAAAAAAGTTTTAAAAAGTATTTAAATGCTGATAATCGCATGGCTTTGATCATTACCAGCTTTGCTAGCAGGGCAGTTTCTGATGAATGCATAATGTGAAGAGCTGCTGGGTTGTTAGGCATGTGGTATTCTTTCACATCCCTATTTGGAAATGTATGCCACAGAGGAGAAGAAAGGGAAACAGGTTGGAAAACAAACAGGGAGCCAGTTACAGTAACCAGTACCACTCATACAGGAAGTCAGACACATTAAGAAAAAAAACAGGTCTGTTATTGCTGGGCTCTTTAACATTTTCATCAGGACTCTGTTGCAACATAAAGCCATTTTATCTCACTTCACTTTGCCCTTCTTGGACCATATTCTGCACTTTCACTGTTCTGCTCTTTTTAAGTCTTTTGAAGACATTTCTAGTGAGGATAAAGTGTGTTTTTGTCAGTTTTTAAAGATCAAATGTTTACATTTTGTACTCCTGCATTTAAAAGTGACCTTACTGCTTCGAAAATTGACTATATTATTTAGACTAGTTGACTCAAAAATGTTTTATTCTAATATTTGCAAAGCAAATTCGTTTGGCTTCAAAATGAAGTCCAGTGTCCTAGTTCCTCATAGACCCAGCTGATTCCTCTCATTAAATCCCAGCAACTGTCAGAAAAGGTTTTTACCTTTTCAACTGACACCCGGTTTTCATACTAGCATGGTATGTTCGTAGCAAGAGAAGATTTCATTTAGCTCTGAGTGGATATTAATCATTCTCCTGCCCCAGACTGCAGAATGCAAATGTTTTCCTCGTTGACTATAAACACGATGATAAAGTTCAAACATCACCCGATTCCTTCAAATGGTTCTTTGATTAAAATCAGAGAATATAAAAACTACAAATCTGGCATATACACTATATTGCCAAAAGTATTTGCTCACCCATCCAAATTATTGGAATCAGGTGTTCCAATCACTTCCATGGCCACAGGTGTATAAATTCAAGCACCTAGGCATGCAGACTGTTTTTACAAACATTTGTGAAAGAATGGGTCGCTCTCAGGAGCTCAGTGAATTCCAGCGTGGAACTGTGATAGGATGCCACCTGTGCAACAAATCCAGTCGTGAAATTTCCTCGCTCCTAAATATTCCACAGTCAACTGTCAGCTGTATTATAAGAAAATGGAAGTGTTTGGGAACGACAGCAACTCAGCCACGAAGTGGTAGGCCACGTAAACTGACGGAGCGGGGTCAGCGGATGCTGACGCGCATAGTGCGAAGAGGTCGCCAACTTTCTGCAGAGTCAATCACTACAGACCTCCAAACTTCATGTGGCCTTCAGATTAGCTCAAGAACAGTGCGCAGAGAGCTTCATGGAATGGGTTTCCATGGTCGAGCAGCTGCATCCAAGCCATACATCACCAAGTGCAATGCAAAGCGTCGGATGCGGTGGTGTAAAGCACGCCGCCACTGGACTCTAGAGCAGTGGAGACGCGTTCTCTGGAGTGACGAATCGCGCTTCTCCATCTGGCAATCTGATGGACGGGTCTGGGTTTGGCGGTTGCCAGGAGAACGGTACTTGTCTGACTGCATTGTGCCAAGTGTAAAGTTTGGTGGAGGGGGGATTATGGTGTGGGGTTGTTTTTCAGGAGCTGGGCTTGGCCCCTTAGTTCCAGTGAAAGGAACTCTGAATGCTTCAGCATACCAAGACATTTTGGACAATTCCATGCTCCCAACTTTGTGGGAACAGTTTGGAGCTGGCCCCTTCCTCTTCCAACATGACTGTGCACCAGTGCACAAAGCAAGGTCCATAAAGACATGGATGACAGAGTCTGGTGTGGATGAACTTGACTGGCCTGCACAGAGTCCTGACCTCAACCCGATAGAACACCTTTGGGATGAATTAGAGCGGAGACTGAGAGCCAGGCCTTCTCGTCCAACATCAGTGTGCGACCTCACAAATGCGCTTCTGGAAGAATGGTCAAAAATTCCCATAAACACACTCCTAAACCTTGTGGACAGCCTTCCCAGAAGAGTTGAAGCTGTTCTAGCTGCAAAGGGTGGACCGACGTCATATTGAACCCTATGGATTAGGAACGGGATGTCACTTAAGCTCATATGTGAGTCAAGGCAGGTGAGCAAATACTTTTGGCAATATAGTGTATAACTACTGTATCTTTAAAAAAACAAAGCGGTTTAAAAAGCTGTTTAATCTAAAGTTATTAAATGACCACTTAAGCTTTCAATTAGTCACTATGGTCATTTGTATAAATTAGAGGGGATTTGCTCAAATCAGTTTCTTTAGTGGTGTTAGATTTGTACCATTAGATTAATTTTATAATCTTTCCTACGTTTCTTACTTTTATTTAACTTAATTTGATGTGCCACACACTCTGCTGAATATGAATCAGGTTTAATAGAGCTATGCGTTGACCTTAACTGTGGCTTCTGACCATGTCTGATTATTAGTTAATGAACTTTTTCAGCCTGAATGAACTAAGCAGTCCAGTGGAAAGACTACAAAAAAAATTCATTATTGTGTTTCGGATTTTTAAAAGGCTATTTTCATGTTTAATGAACAATGTTAACACAGCAGAATAAAGCACTTTTATTGAAAAGGAGCACTTTTATGCTTGGACCAGATTTGTACTGAACATAGAATGAACAACAAAAAAGAAATGAAGTGCAGTTCCATTTGTTTTAACTGAGAAGTTTGGTTTCTTCTAACTTTTCAATCCAATTCAGTTCAGTTTATTTATATAGCACCAATTAACAACACACGTCATCTCAACCCACTTTACAATTCAACCAGATCATACAGTCAAATTGATTCAAGTTTTCTATCTAAGGTAAACCAGTTGATTGCATCGACTCTCACTAAGCATGCTTGTAGCGACAGTGGAGAGCAAAAACTTCCTTTTAACAGGAAGAAAGCATTTGCCAGCAGATCAGACTCAGGTGAGCGGCCATCTGCCGAGGCCGACTGGGGTTCAAGGAGACAGAAGCAGACAGAGAAAGAAGCAGAGATACAAAATGCAACTGTCAACCAGCTCCACAGGTGGCTCCGTCTGGGAAACACACAGCCAGGCAGATGAGCTCCAAGCCAGCTTCCATGATAGTGGATGAAGAGAGCACAACCAGTTAGTCACAGTCAGAGAAACAGGACTACACTTAAAAACAGGCCGATCTCCAGCATCTATAAACAAAGGTGTTGATGGCAGGAGCACAGCTGATATTTCTCTCCATGATGGAGTCACAGCCAACAGGCGCGGTAAAGCTACTATGAGAAAAAGCAGAGAGAGCAGAACGTTAGAAAGTGAACAAAGAAATTCTGCAAAGTGGGAGAATAGAGATAGAAAATGAAGCAAAATAATGAAAAAGGGGTCCCTATGTCCTCCAGCAGTCTAAGCCTATAGCAGCATAACTATATAGAGAGCTCAGGGTAACCTGAACCACTCTAACTATAAGCTTTAGGAAAAAGGAAACTTTTAAGCCTAGCCTTAAAGTAGACAGGGTGTCTGCCTCACGGACTAAAACTGGTAGTTGGTTCCACAAGAGAGGAGCCTGATAACTAAAAGATCTGCCTCCCATTCTACTTTAAGAAATTCTAGGAACCTCTAGTAAACCTGCAGATTGAGAGCGAAGTGCTCTGTTAGGAACATAAGGAACAATCAGATCTATGATATAAGATGGAGCTTGGCCATTTAAGGCTTTATATGTGAGAAGGAGGATTTTAAATTCTATTCTGGATTTAACAGGAAGCCAATGAAGAGAAGCCAGGATAGGAGAGTTATGATCTCTCTTTTTAATTTTCATTAGAACTCTGGCTGCAGCATTTTTGATCAGCTGAAGACTTAACTACAGTTTGTGGATTTTCTGATAGTAAAGAATTGCAATAGTCGAGCCTTGAAGTAAAAAGGCGATCGCTTTTGATATCATGTGGCTAAAAACATCAGATGATCTTTGTTTTTTGTTTTTTTACCTTAATATTTAGATCAGAGGTCTGCTGCCTTCTCTTAAAACGTATTTAGAGTCGCAAATGTTGTGGGTTTCTGGATAGAGAACATAATTTTTGATAAATAACGGGTTTTAAAAAGTTTGTAGGTTAAAAAACAGAAATATTTTTGTGAGTTGATTGACAGATACAGTTTCTTCTATTGGATCTCGATATTTATGTATAATTAGTCTTGATTTTCTTAACTTTGAGAACGCTGATCGATCTTATCCACTGATATTTTCTACCTCTGCAAAGGCCTCTGTCAAAAAATTTTTTATTTGAATGTGAGAGGGTTATCGCTCATGCAGTTAAAACAAGTATTTTAGTGTTTTATGAGTATTTTTTTTTCTTTTGATCAAAATGAGATTCAAACACTGAAGGTATGATGTCATCTTATAGAAACTGCAATAAACAAAACTCATCGCCAGATTTCGCATGTCAAGGTTTTTTTTAAAAATGAGTGATCGGCCAGAAAACGGCAATCAATTCAGAGCAATTATTTCATCATCAATTGAAGAAAATGCTTAAAACCTTCAGTATTTGTTGGAACATTAACTGGATCCACTGTTCAAAGTCCATAGAGACCCTTGTGGCCCCAGAGCCACAGCTTGCAGATCCCTGGTTTAAATTAAATCAATTATAACATAATTTGGACTCCAGTAATGCTGTAAAAGGTTTGGTAAATGAATGTAAAACTACTTCTCTACTTTTATTATCCCTCTATATGTTTGGTGACCAATTCTTGTTTAGATTATCGGCCAAACGGCAGAGACTTCCGGAGCTCCACGCTGTCTGTCCCGGAGCAGATCATGTCGTCTAACCACTGCTCTCGATCGGCTGACATAAACCGGGCTCGGTCGCGCTCTCCTAGTGTTCCACCAACCTCCAGGTAAACAAACTTTAGCAAATACAAAGACTAGATATTTTCTCTTTTTTTCTGTTGTGTGTTGTTTATGTTTGTTACAGATAAAATCACATTTATGGGAAATATTCTGCATTCTTATTATGTGACTTGAATCATTTCAGGGGGTTATTTCTCTGCTAATGAAATATAGGAAAAGCTTGAACTTATTTTATTGTTTATTTAGATACTAGAACATTCAAACCGGAGTTTTAGTCCATTATTGTTGCAAGCAAAACAAGTGTTTCATAAAAGGAAATTTGAAAAAAAAAATGCAATCTAGAAATTAACCTTTTTAGAGTTTCTTATATCTTAAATGAATGGTTGCTGTTTTTATTTTTTTATTTTGTTCTTTCAATACATATATTTACAGACGTAATATTTTCAAAATTTATTTTTTTAGATTGGGTTTACAAATATTTTCTGTTCACATCAAGCCAATAAACCAATGAAAATGTTGTTTCTCACGTCCATTGCCATAATGGCAATCATTTTACATCCATAGAAATGTGCGTCTTTCGTTCTCAGTCCAGAGGAAAGCCCGAGCCCAGAACAAAAATTTGAAAACAACATGAAAAAAAGAAATACTGTCAATATTTTCTCAAATAACATTAAAAAAAGAAAAGTATAAAGTTGCTACAACGAATAATGGAGCAAGATTCACTCCGTACTTGAAAAGTAGGGGTCAGTTTGTGGTCTGATTGACATCTACTTTGACCCACAGCAGAAATCGTCACACATATTCAACCTAAAGGTGCTTCCTTTATAAAGTAGGAGGATCACTTGACTTGTTAGAGATTTAAACACAAGTTGGGTATGGAAAGTAAAAAACAAAAGTAAAAATATAGCTTTCCTTTGGAACAGAGCTGTCTGTCATTTTAATCTCATGCTACACTGTGAACATTTGCTGCAAATGCTGTGTGAACTGTGTAGTTCTTATTGAACGCGTTTAACCCCCTTTATGAAAGATGCTGGCAAAGAAAGTTATTAGTTGCTCTCCATCAGCACTTTTTGTTTGGTTGAAAATGTCGATCACAGAGTCCAATCACTGCCTTGGCACTGCCAGGCTGCAGCTACTCTCTCCTGGTCAATCAACTTTATTTGTATTTCAAAGGCTCAGCCTAAATCAGCCTTTGATTAAAAAAAACGCACTTATCTAAATTGTCTTGGACAGTAGCTCATTTAATGTGTTCCATCTGCTTTAATTAACTACTTCTGGTTGTTTCTTCAGAAAACTTGTTGGAATGACACTAAAAACGAGTCATTGAATTTGGCTGTTTGTTGGTTAAAGCAAATACTGTTTTTGAAAAAACGAAAACATTGCCTCTGATTTTTTTATGTTTTCAGTTTGAAATAACGGCTCTGCTAATATTTATTTGAAGAAAGTGGATTAAAGGGGGCTCTAAGTTCTGAGAAATAAAAACTCCCCCATCTGCTGACAATGCCGATGGTTCAGAAAGTAATGACTGAGGACCCAGTAACCAGCAAAGATGTTGGTCAGGGACGTCAACAGAAATACAGCAGGTGGTGCTAGAGCACCTGCCCTTTTCACAAGGAACCAAAGAAGAAGTGCCGCAATGATGATTTCTTTTTTTTTTTAAAAACAGTGTAGCTTTAGTGTGTGGCCCATTTCTGGTTTTAAAAACTTTTACAAAAACCACTAACTTTTATACTTTTTCACAACAAACCCCCCTCTTGCCTCACCCCCCACCAAAACTGAATGTTTTGAAATGGTTAATTATTTTACAGACACTAATGTTTCATTAGTGTTCAGTTGTTACCAAACTTATCGTGAAACCAACCTGTAGTGTTCAATATTATCAAAAACATTTATCAGACAGAATATGGCTAATCATTTGAAATAGGCGAGCCGTGCTAAGCGCCACAGAAATTCCTCTTTTTTTCTACTTGAGCACCTGCCCCCCAATATTTCTGTGCACGGCACTGATGTTGGACTCAATTCTAGTCAGAATATGAGTCTGATGCTGCTCCATAGAGCTGTGATTATGGGGCGTGATTTGAACGAACCAGGAAAAAAATGCCTCTGCACTCAATTGGAAAGACCTACAACCAATAAGAGCAACGGAGTGCGTGACGTATGTTAAGCGACGCATAGTTGTTGTCAACAAAAATCAAAGCGTGCAGTTTCACGCCTAGAATAAGAAGATGAGCCTTGATCGCGTTTCTCTGTTCCTCTTTTAAAATTAATTTGCTGTTGATATCTTCTAGAACAGACCTAATAGCAGAATCTACTCACCTCAACTCTCCAGCGGCAGCCATTGTTGTTGTCACCCAAGCGCGCTTTGGTCACGTGGTTGATTATGTTACTGTTGATCATCAGATATTGTGCTAGCATACTTGCGCTACTATTGAGCAATGCCAGACCGAACTTCCCGACCTCAAATGTTGTGGGCGGGACTAAGTTCGGAATGGCACCCAGGCTACAGAAACAGTTCAGTTGGTCTCAGTCCGCCTCCCTGGGAACTACTCAGAACCTGTTTGGAGTGAATTTTGTTTCAATATCGTTGCAAGCAAAGAACACGGTCTCTAAATATAAATGAAAAATGCAATCCAAAAAAGAAACTGAAAAAATTTGTGTTGCACCGATACCGATACCAGTGTCAGACGGGGCCACTATCCAGCACTAAGATGGTGGTATCGGTATTGGCGAGTACCAACAAATAGGGCACTGATACCATTTTGAGAGCCAAAAGTTTATTTAACTATTGTCACCCATTCCAGGTAGGCAATAAAAAGTTCTCCTGGATTCTGTTTGTTTTAGTCTTTTTCCTGCTTCACAAAGGTAGGCAGCAGCTTGACAAAGCCATGATGGCAATTATTTACATCCAAGTAGTATGCAAATCTTCATATATATACACAAGCATCAATTCAAAACAGATGGTATCGGTATCGTACGATACTGCATAGCCAGGTGTCAGGTATCGGGGCAAAAAAATAGTCTCAGCGCAGCACTAGTTATAATGAAGCATTGTTCTGCCTCCCCTGTCCAAAACACTTTAACCAACTCAGCTCTTTAAATACTTCTATTTGGCTTTTTTTTCCACTGGCCGCTCAGAAACAGTTCAGTTGGTCTCAATCCGCCTCCCTGAGAACTACTCAGAACCTTTTTGGAGTGAACTTTGTTCCAATATTGTTGCAAGCAAAGAACACAGTCTCTAAATAGAAAGATAAAAATGCAATCCAGAAAAGAATCTTTGAAAAAAATCTTCATTAGTGAATTTTCCTTCTTAATTTAATATTGAAAATGTTATTTAAATGTTGTTGTTTTTTTACCGACTTTATATTTAAAAATGTATTTTCAAAAATCTCTCCTTTTCAGTCTATTATATAAGGAGAAAGACAATATATATGTTAATAAAATCATGTTCATAAAGGATAACCCTATTGCAGACCTTAATCCACCAATGGTAGACCCAGATGTATGCTCCTGACCTGGAGCTCACACAGATCACATCTACACGAGGAGACGGTTTCTCAAGCTTCTCTTGTGTGAAGAGTTTCAAACCTGGAGTGTAGCAGCTGAGTTATATTATTAGAGCAGGTTATTATTATGCTGCCCATGCTGACTCCTGTAATAGAAACTGGGTGTTAAGTTATATTACTTCCATTTGTCTTATGACTCCTCCTTACTGTCCTTGTATTTCTTTTTATCCTCTTTTCCTATTTCTTTAAAAGGTTAAAACTCATGACTTCTGCCTGTTAAAGATCTATAGATCTCTGCTCCCTTTTCTCCTCCATCCCTCAGCCCATGATTCGCTCTCTCTGAATTCCCCCTCTCTCTGTTTGCTTTCATCATTGCCTGTCTTCTTCCTCCTCATCATATCAGATCCATCTGTGTCTTTTCTCCTCCCTCCATGTGGTTGCAGCCATTTTCTCACCTTACCTCGAGCCAGATATACTCAACCTATAGACGATCCTCAGAAGGACCTCAGGTATACTTGTGTCCGAATTTGCATGAAGCCTCATCTCTACACTTCCACTTGTCCACCAACCAGTCTTGTTTATCCACCCTCTCACCTTTGCTGATTTTTTTTCAGCTTTTATTTGACTGTTTAACACTTAAGCACTCTATGGTGACACTTTCACTTCACTGTCTACACAATAAAGGTATGCTTGTGAAGTTTCGTCCAGTAGAGGGGGTCCTCTGCAGAGTTTATGACTGATTTCTATAATGTAAATCCATCAGTGCGGGTTTTTCTTAATTATATCACCTGCTATGTGGGGGAAAAAAGCAATTAAATGCTTACCATATTTTTTTGCCAGCCGCAACCATGGTGTGTACCCAATCTGCAGAGAGGAAGCAGTCAGGTTACTGCGTTCCACTCGGATGACCCGTGCCCATTCAGAGGGCACCTACTCCTCCAACTTTGACTATGAGAGGTATTCAAGTGCACGGCCACAACATCCAGTGCATCATGTTGTGGCCTCCTCGCGTTGTTCCTGGTTCATCTGTGATTCTGTGAAAGTGATGACCCAAAATGATATCTTGTCTGATATCCGTTTTTTTATTTTTTTAAAGGAGTCATCACAGCTCTGGAGCTGAGCAGTTGTTAGAAAAAGACAACTAAACAACTGCCTTCGTATGTTAAGACTCCAAGCTATGTGTGTCACTGTTGTCAGCTGTATGTGTGCTGGTCAGGTCGTTACTTGCTGGCTGACAATTGACTGTAAATGATTGTTGTCGTATGGAGTTAATTTTGTTCCATTGTCGTTGCAAACATATGCACATGTTTTTTAAATGGAAATTTGAAAAAATGTCATCTAGAAATGAAAACTTACCGAAAACAGATGTAACTTTTTTTTACTTTATTTTGCAGATTTTTAAAAAATTTTTGCTCAGATTTAGTTTTACAAATTGCCTTCTTTTCAGATTTGTCTTTTAGGAATCAATTTCTCTCTCACTTCAAGTTGAATACAAACGCTCGCTTTTGATACGCACATTAACGAGTACGGTTTGGTTGATAACGTTCGTACAGACCAATAAAAACTAATTTTTTCCAATTTTATTTTCCAAAATGTATCTTTTATTCAGATTGAGTTTTACGAATCAAATTCTTTTAAAATTGCGTTTTACAGATCACATTTACATCAGTAGGCGGGTTTTCCTCTGTGGTGAGGAGCAAAGAAGCATTTCTATTGGTCTGCTGGATGTTAGCAACATTTTTATTGGTTTTCATCAATAGCGTTTGTGAATAGAAAGGGATTTTTATAACACAATTTGAAAAAACATGCTGTCCATAAAAAATAACATGAAGATTATCATAAAAAAAAGTTAGTATTCAAAAAACAAAAAAAAGTTACTCTCAGAACATTTTTTTCATTTAAGTCATAGCGAAGTCATATTTAAATGTCAAATCATTCTGGCTTCAACATCTATACGTCAGCCTGAACACCTAAATTCGGCCAATCATATATCAACGATCATCTGTCAATCAAATTTTTTCGGTCATAGCATCTTGATTGAAATAAGAAATAATAATTTCCTTTCCCATTGAGTTCCGTCCCAGTGTTCACGGGGATGGACGTCTGTGTCTTCAGCAGGCGTAGAGCTAACAGAACTGGCAGCGTTGCGAGGCAAGGGCTCAAACATGTACGGCTGTAAGCCTTCTACACCAAACCAAGCTTCTGCCGCCCTGGCGTCCTCTTCCACAACATCTTCATCCCGGCTTTCCTCCTCTAAATAAAAAATGTATGATGGAAGAGACTCATCCACGACCTGCAACACTAAACTCTCCTCAACTAGCATGTTTCCACTGTCCATAGCGTTCCTTGACAGAGTCGTTTCTTAGTCACCAATTTAGTGCTACTTGGTCCCAATGGAATTTTCCATTGGACACCTACTAGCACTAAGTTGCTAACTGGTTAGCAAGATGAGAAACCGAGAAACCGGCCACAATTAAGCCTGCTTGTGAACCTTCCGCCACAACAATCCTGCCCCCTTGATAAACGACTATCACATTCACTTTATTACCTACGACTTAAGGAACTTTTTCAAAGTTTAATTTGTGGATACATTTTTTTATGTCCATCTACAGAACGTGTTCTTTGGTTACAAAAATGATGGAACAAAGTTAACTCCATATTGATGTTTATTTGTCTATTCCCATTCTGCCAACAGCACCACTCTTTGTCACCCAGTGGTGTGGGATTTTTAGTCTTGTCCTTTTTGTCCTATTGGCAGCAGTTTTTCACACATCAAAAGTTTGGCATCTTTGATATAAATTTGCAGGTTGGGCTGCTGTGATGTTATCACCAAGACTTACATCAGCTGTTACAGAAAAGCTATGAGTGGCTTAACTCGACTGTTTTCCAAAATTTGACCTTCATTTAGAGGAAAGGAAATGTTTTAACTGTTAGCAGCAGTCTGGTTTTATGAAAATATATCAAACTTTCCAGGAGTTCACATTTTCACCTGTATTTACAGCTCTGGCAAGAATTCTACAATTTTAAAAAATTATGTTTATCCATAAAATAATGTTTATTGCAAATGTGCAACACAATAGTAGTGTTGCACATTGTGGGATTCCAAATTATACATGCAGTCTCGATACGCACATTTGATTTATTTTATAAAAGTCTTGGAAAATCTGTAGCGAAACCAAAAAGATTTGTAGTAATCAAAGATGTCCTTGTAGGATTTAGTCAAAATGTCTCACCTCTCCTTTAATCTGAATTAGCAGAAACACAAAACCAGGTTGTCGATAAAGACCATTAACTTGTGGACACGTTGGATGTAGGGTCCACGTCTGAAGCCTAATAAGGATCCTTTATCCATTTATTCATTGATTTTTGTCTCAAACAGCAATTCATTTTGATCTCATGAGGACAATAAAGATTCCTGATACTTATACTATGTTCCTGTCTTAACAGGCTATAGCTAAGGAGCTTTTGATTGAAGTGCATCCACTTTGCAGCACCAATGGTAGCAAAACAGGCCCTCATCATGATCCTACCACTGCCATACTTGACATTCCTCTAATGATCTTCTGTTTGAAGGTCTTAACTTGAATAATTATCGTCAAAAGGCTGCTTTAACTGATGCGCTGGTTAAAAACACAGCTATCACTGGAAGGTATTACATTTAAAGGTATAGTGGATCATCAAAATAAGTGGTCCTCCTAATGATCAATCATTCTGGTGATATGTTTAAGCAAAGGCCGTCCTACGTGCTCATCCCCATTTTCAATAACCGCTGGTGAGTCTGACATAGTGAAACATATGCAAAACTTCTTTTGGAAGGTAAGATTGCATGAGCGATGCAAACAGCAACTTTTAAACACAGCGTGCACGAGAAGAAATGGGCTTGTTTACACTCTTGTACACTTTTAATAGATAATATTTAGTTTGACATCACCATCATTGCTGACTGTCTTTAAACTTCTTGCCAGAGCTACCCTAAATCTTAAATATCAAACTATATATATGGTTAAATATAATCATGTTAAGTTATACTTGTAAAATAATGTAATGTTTCAGCCTTGTGGCACATATCCTCAGAGTTAGACACTAAGGGAACGGTGTTGACTATTTAAAACAGGAATATTTAAAATTCAGAGAAATAAGAATCCATTGATATTTGGGGAAAGGAGAAGTTTAAGGCTCTGTTCCAAAGGGCGAAATGGTTTCACCGCAGCCGTATCCATCGCACTGGACATAACCTGCCAATAGGTCTTACAGTGTTTTATATAAATGAGTCATCTGGTATGATAACAACCACTAAGACTAATGGGTGTAGATTAAATGTTACCCCCTGACTGAAATGTTATTTTCTATCTGCTAATCTAAAAGGACGTCTCCTCTACTGGACAGCAAAGTATAGCAGTTTAGAGGTTTTAACATTTTGTTACGTTATTTTTTTAAACAAAATTATAGGTCACATTTTCAATCAGTTATAACAATGAAAATGATGCAGAGACAAACAAGCCCTCTGAATTTTATTAAAGAATATTTTGGTGTAAGGGTTATTTTTTGTTAGTTTTGAGCTGATGTTTTGAGGTCTGTGGTAATAATGCCAATTAATGGTTTTAAAGTGACAAATAATGTGCATGATTTTTTATTTTTGTACACCACTTTAAAATGAAATCCCAGTTTATTTTGTTTTTTTCCTGCTTGCAATGTTAAAATGTATAGCTTTCCACTATGACTGTTGTTTCTGTTAAATGTTAAAACTCATGTTCTTTTTCCCTCTAGCGTTTGAGGTTGATACTTTCACTCCTCTGCACTGCACCGTAACTTTAACACAAATGTATAAAAATAAATAAGAACAAGTGAATTCCAACTTACACATAATTATACATTTTTTTTTTTTACATCTCCACACTTGACGGGTGTTTGTTGTTTGTAGGTTAAAAGGATAAATAAGTAGTCAGTCTTAAATAAATTAAGTCAACAAATATAATACTAAGAAAATCTTTAAAAAAAATTTAAAAATATAAATCGTACAGACATGGATCTTCTGCTAAAAACACGTAAAAAATCTAATAAAGGTTTATCCTAGAAACATAATCTTATGCTGAAAATCAAAAATTACATCAAACAAACAAAAAAAAAAGAAAACAGTCGTTTCATTTAAGAAAATTCATTGATGATAAATAAAATTTAAATAAAGATTATTTTAGCATCACAAGTGGCTCATTTGTTGATCCATTTAACAAGTTTTTATAAAAACATGTTTTCTGTTCTACTATCGGAAACCAATAATTCCAACCATCTGGATTTTCCTCACTAAAGGTAGATATGACTCCATATATCTTTCAAATTTTCCAATACGATACAGATATTGCAGCTTTGAGTGTCGACAGATACCAAAATTGACGCGATACGATATCAGTGCAGATCATATTTACTTTTATTACCAATATTTCTCGATATTCTTTTTTAGACAGTAATATTCTTTTTTAGACAGTAATTGCACAGATTTCAGTATTTTGACATCCCTAGTTGGGACTGCAACAAAGGCTGAAAGCATCTTTAAAAACCGGAAGATCTTAGATAAAAATCTGAAATGCTGCAATATATCATATGAGAAAAAACTAAAAATAAAATAAATAGAACATATGTAAAGAAAAAAGAAAATAATTAAATCTTTTGATTACCCAAAACCTTTGATCAATTTGGTTTCTATGCCAGTCCTAAAGAGAAAATGTTAGAGATAAGAAGAAAATTCAAAGGATGAGATCGGCTGTATAAGCAGAGCCAAAGATCGCTTAATTTACGATCCAATATGGCGACAGTTTATCGCAGAAAAGTAAATGTTCTCTCTTACAAAAGATGTAGGTAGCAGGAGAACTACTAATTATGCCACAAGTGATCAAATTTAAGATCCATATTAAGATCAGCTGTTTCTTAAAGTTGCTTTTTTTCCCACTAATAAGTATTTTTAGTGAGAGAATGTTTGACTGACATAACATATGAGTTTATTTTAAGGACTTTTATATATCTTTTCCAGAGGTCCCAATAAATTTGTCTTTATTTGTCCTTTAGTTTTTCTTCCTACAAAAAAAAAAGTGTTTTATAGGTTAAAACTTCAGCCAAGTACCCACATAACTCTTTTACAAAAGGCTCCAAAAGTCATCTTTGACCTCCATAATGTCCACATTGCCAGCAAAATGTCCCAGGACATCCTGGAGTCACACTGAGTGCCTGCCTGTTTCTCAACAACCTCTGTAGGAACCACGGATCCATGGATAGACACGAGTTTCACAGCAGGTCCCGCTCTGCCGACCAGCGACCCACTATAGAACGCCTCTCATCCCGCTCTCGCTCTTCTGAACGCCCCCACGACTCTTCCCTCATGAGGTCGATGCCATCTCTGCCATCTGGGAGGTCCGCACCCCCCTCCCCTGCCATGACGAGGTGTGACCCAGATCGGAGAGGCTAACAAAAACAGACTAACGACAAGCTGGAGGTTTTGGTTTTGCACTCATTTTCCAGAGATGCGGCTCTACTGAAGGGGTTAAAGAACAAGACAAAAAAAAAAAAAAAAAGCAAAGATAAGAAAAAAACATCCAAACCTTAGGTAGAATAACTGATCATTCAGTAGCTGACAAAGAACATCTAATGCTGTGATGCTAAAAGTGAAAAACTTTTGCTATATGTGAGCAAATTTGATGAGTAAAATAAAAGCTTATCTCCATTTACGCTACCCTTTTAAAACCGTGCCGAGATCAGTCCGAGCACAGTTACCGAGATAACTGTTGAGTGTAAATGGCACACACAACTGAACCGTACCGCGGCAGACACAACCGAACCGCGCAAACATGGTACTAGTTCAACAGTAGGGCTTGGAGTGGTTCAGTTCTGGCTCGGTTCTCAGATAACAAAGAGCGCATGAGCAGACTGCGTCATCTCCTTACTGTCAAGGGCTGGTTATCCTCCCGCAGCAGTGTGTCACAGTGAGCTTGTCGCAGATATTTTTGATTTATGCCCAATATTAAAGCATGGTCTAGGCTATGTTATTCCATGCCACAATGCAAGAGGGACAATCAGGAACTAGCTGAGGGTCTAGATATGGCCAAGGCAGTGAGGAAGTTTGTGCGCCAACGGAGGGACATGAGGGCCAAAAAGAGCGGAGATCCAGGTGGAAAAAGGGTCCCAGTGTCAGTGGCGGTTCTAGACCAAATGTATCACGGGGCCAGGAGGGGGCCAGCATGTTTTCATGGGGGCACAGAAAAGCACGAAATTAAAAACAGTGCAAAGGAATCAAATGTATTAAGAAATCTGCATAAAGTGAAATTTCTATTCAATTAGGTTTAATTCATATTCTGTCTTTTTCGGTCAATATACATTCATAAATTAGGAATTTTACATGTCTTGACCTATTTTAAGTTAAAAATTACAGTTTTATACAAAATCTGAATTAGAACTCAAGAAAATTTATAAATTCAGCTGTAAAAATTAGAGCATTTTTTAAAATTTGATGAAAACTGGGATCCTATCTCAATACCACTGAAGCTATCACCTCATTGTTTTTAAATAATTAGTAAAACAGAATTTGTAAAGGAAAAAAATGAAAGAGATCCAAAGGACCTATCAGTAACCATGTCTGTTCCATATCATCATTAGAATTTCTTTGAGTATCATGTCTTCGTACAGGGGCCAGGACATGATCTACAGGGGCACTGGCCCCCATTGGACCCTGTCTAGAACCTACCCTTGCGCACCTCGCTCTTCCAGCTGGTCCGTCTTCACGAGTCGTTTTCCACAATGGCGGTCATACAAAAAACAAGACAAAAAAACAACAGGAAATACGCATAGTGTAGAGCGGATAAAGATTTGACCAATCAGAGGCCTCCTGTCTGCAGCACTGTCTTCACCTACAATTTTAGAGAGGTGCAGCAGATTGACTGCGGAAGGGGCAGAGGCACATTTGCATTCACTGCGACACACGCAGATGACCTGGTTTCTGATTATAAATCAGCCTTAAATGTTCTTAAGGAACCGAGATAACTGGTTAACTGATCCAACCTCGGCACGGATCGGTTTTCAGCGGGTAGAGTAAATGGGCCTTTAGATAGGCGGCACGTTGCTCATATTGATAGCAACCTAATGTCTTAATATTTTAGTTTAACCCCTCTATGAGATTTAAATCAACCAGTAGAAATCATTGTGTTATCTGCCAGAGTCGCTCAGCCTCTGTTAAAATGTTTGTTTAGCTAAAACCTTCTTAGAGCTAACATACCCTGGGGGACTCCTACCTGACCTGTTGCAGACTAACTCATACTGTATTCACCTCCCTGCTCCCGTACTAAACCCAACACTCTCAGATCCCTCTTATTTACTTCTCCTGATACCCTGCCTAACTCGACTCCACCCACCTCACCCCAGCTCACTCCATTAGTACCACGTTTAACCCCAACCTAGCCACTTTTTTCTGTTTATTTCCTAACAGCACTGTGGATGTTAGTGTATTTTCTTTACCCACATTCCAGACACATTGATCCTAACACCACAGCAAGCTTTCTACCTCTTTTTTTTTTAAATATTATGTACCACACTGCTTATACATTTGTGGGTATAGCAGTGATGGGGACAATATTATACTTTGGTTTCATTAACGTTAACTGATGCTGATTATCCCTTGTGATGGCATTGTGTTTTTTTTTTTTTTTTTTTTTAGTTTGATTTACTTTTTTGTTCAGATTTCAAGCAGTTGAGAGACAGTATGAACGCATGGTCGCACTGGTCTACCCTTTCTGCATTGAACTCCTTTCTCCCCGCAGCTTGATGGGTCGACTGTACATGCATACGTTTCACACCAAGCATCTTTTATTGCAGCTCAGCATCATGTGCCAAACCTCATTGTTGTGTGCATTTGTTTTGAAATCCACCGAGAGAATTTGAACCGAGGGGCAATAATGATGCATTTTAGTGACTTTGAATATTCTACTGTTTATTTGATAGGACCAAACCAAATGCTTGTCTTTTTGTTGTATGTCTATGATGTGGATGCATACAGTCCCTTGCCCTGCATCCACTGCCTGCTCTTGTCTTCTGCTTCACGGGAACTGTCGGTTTTGTCACTCAGGGCACATCCTCGCAGTGGATCTGTCCAGACCAGTCCCACCAGTACTCCCAGTAGACGAGGGCGACAACTCCCACAGCTTCCACCCACAGGCACAGATAGAAGTAAGTCACTTAGACTTTGGGATAATCGATCTGGGACTTATTATTTTGTTGGTGATTTGTTTCATCTACTCTAGTTTTGTTTTTCTGCTTTTGACGACCATGCATTCATCTTTTTATTGATCCATTTTCATTTCTCTCTCAGAAGATGGAAAAGAAGGAACACAGTCAACTGAAGGTTTGTATCGGATGTGTGGGTTTAGTCTATCAGGCAGGAAGCTCCGGTTGAGCCGTATTTCTCTGAGAAAACTGAAATCTTGTCTGCAGTGGAAAACGTTGAACAAGCCTCGTCTTGCATGTTTTTCTGACCTCTGGATCCATCTGGATCCTGCAGGTTGTTTCAGCTGATGTGTACCTATACAGCTTGCTTTAGGTTGACTGTGTTATTGTTAAATATTGACTTGTTTGGCTGCTCAGATACTTTATCAATATGTGAGTTTTTGTACTCTCAGGGGTTTTTCTGCATGTAGCAGACTTCCGCCTCCGTACGTTTCTTGCTAAATACAGCTAAACCCAGAAGGACCGTTTGAATATTTAGCTAAATATAGTACTTAGTTGTGAAATGTTTATAAAAATATGACATATTTTTATAGAGATTTAGTGTCATCTTTCTTTGTTACCTGATTCTTTTCTCATTTCTCCACCTTCATTCCTCTCCTGAATTTCTCTCACATGACCAAAGAGTTAGACATGTCGATCCATTTAGTCTTATCTCTCCAGTTTGTCGCTACTGTTTACATTAACATGTTTAACATATACTCAATGTTCCAATAAGTTTGGATGAACTAAGATGTTTATAATGTGTTTAAGAACTTAATATTCATATGTATAGAGTATATTTTTATAGCGAGACCAGGAGCAAAGTACAGAGCGCTAGAACCCTGTAATTCTTTTCTCCACAAAAAACCTGTTTGGGCAATTAATATCAATGACATTCATAAAAAGAAGAAATCAAATCATTCTAGACAGAGAAGTTTTGTGGACAAACGTCATAGATTGATATTTTTTAGAACGATTCATAAGTTTGGAAGAACGACGGGAATGTTGGCAGAAACTGGGGTTTCCCATCGTTCCTGCTTCTTACCATCCCATCTTGTTTATGTGTCATGTTAGTGTTTTTGACTGACTAACTCTAACTTCAAAAAGCCACATTGGGAATGACTTAAAAAATGCAACTGTAACAGTCCCCAAGGGACGGCACAAACTGGGACATTTTCCCATCACTGCAGCTGGATTCCACCTCTTTATGTTGACGATTGTTTATATCACCCCAATAATTTATTTAGTTGATATGTCTTAGTTTGACTCTTCTCTTTAGAAGAAAACAGTGTTTACTAGCGATCTAGATAAACTCTTTCATAAGGGTCATGAGATATCCATCTACAATTGACTTATTTTTAATTCTGTTACATTAGGGACCATGCAGAAGACATCAGTAATTAGACATCAGTGAGTCTCCCTCATGAATGTAAAACCTTGATTCTCTAGAAATAAAACTCAGCATATTTGCTGAAGCTAATTTAGTTTGTTCAATTGTTAATTTTTTAAACTCATTGTAGTCTTAGTTGAGTTGTATTGGCCAAATTCTCTGCATTCAACACACTTTTAGGCCATTTCACAGATGTTGGGTCAGCCATGTGTTTACGATCAGATCTGTTGGAGGTTATTTGAAGTGTTCTACTTTACTTTAATGTCTCTGGGTCTCATAATATGATAAACCTCAATCTGCTTCTAGCAGCTAACAGTGAAGACAAACTCCAAGATCCACCGGTGAATGGCAGGAAAGGCAAGTCCTCTGTGAGGTGATGGCTTGAGTTTGCTGTGGAGTCTTTCTGCCTTAACACTAGCAATCATCTCCAGTTCAGCTCTTGATTAGGGGTGTAACGAAATATTCAGCTCACAAGATGAGATGAGGAATGATAAATCTACTTGAAATATAATACTAGTGATAGTTTTGAGCTCTTTGCTTTATGTTTTATATGCTTTATATTTTTGCTTTAATAAACAGTCTGGCATTTTTATGCTTGGATCAGAGATCTGCTGCTTCAGAAAAGTTTCAAAGGTACATAGTCAGGTTATCTGCCTATATCAAAAAGACCAAAATCCAGCTGATTATTTATTATGTTAGTGTTTTGATCATCCCAAAAAAAGTTAAAAATAAAACCACTGGACTTTTTTTTCCAAGTTTCCAAGATGTTTCGCTTCCCATCAAGAAAGCTTCCTCAATTGAAAATGTCTGGAGTAATGTGGAGCTCCAGGCTTTACAGAATTGCCCAACAAAAGCCTTGTTATGGCTCAGAAAACATGTAAATTTAACTGAATCGGTTTTGATAAAACAGAAGCCCAGCAATGGGCGCAATGAGCTACGTAAACAGACGTGGCGCCATCTACAGACAGTACTGCTTAAATACCAGAAAGCCAGATGACGGCCATTGATGCAGCTACTAAGTAAATCCCAAGCGAGCAATGCCTCGCTGCAAACCATCAGCTCTGAGGATAGGGCTTAAAAGCATTGCCCAGTGACGTAATCCCGGTCACATAATGCTAATATAGTTAATGTGCACAGAAAGGCTATATTTACTAACAATTTGTGTATAAACAAAGCTTGAAAGATACAAAATAGTAAATGCTAGGTCAGAAGAATGCTGTAATTTGTCCCAAAAATGCTGGTTTACTGCCATATACATTTTAAAATCTATAAAATGTAATTGTGTTGCGTGAGTTTTAAAGCTAGAATAGCTTTAAATAGCTTTAGATTGCGTTTGAATATATATATATTCAATTTACAATATTCAAGACTATCTTTAGCTAATCCATATTGTGAATATATGCTCTACTAATCCAAAGGTACTCCATTGAAAATCCTCCCTTTGTGAGAAAAGGTTTTTATAAATGTAATTTGTTCTTCCTAGACTGATCTAGTCTGATTGATTTTAGATTTTAAACAAATGATCAGGTTATTTCCTTAAAAACCTTAATGTGGTAACTATCTAATGCCTAGAACCGTCTGTGATAAAGCAGACTTTAATACAAGAGATGCTTGTATGAATGTTTGAATTCTGTTTGTGTTGAGAAGAGGGAAAAGGTTGTAAAAACTCTGCCAAGAGTACATGTTATGTTGATTTATGAGGGAGCAGCTGAAAGGAGTTGCAGTAGCTAAACATTAGAAGCACTGTTTTCACAGTGCTAACAAATCCCTCATGTCCTGTCTATCAGTGTTTCGTTTTCTTCTTGGTGTAATATATTCACATATCCATTTTTAAAATGATGGAGGCTTCGTTGGTGCGTCTGTCAGTCAATCAGTGTCAATTAGGGTGGCCAACCGTCCCTTGAAAAACAGAATCGTTCAGTATTTAGAAACAGAAGTACCTGTCCCCTATTTAGTGGAAAAGGAATGCACTTTGTCCCGTTTTACTGTGACAGTAAAAAAAATTGTCAGTGGAAATCTAATGGAAAACGAAGAACAAGGGCGCGTTAGATACAAAACTTACGGTAAACCTGTTCCCGGTTCCTGTCCTGTGTTGTGACCAATGAGCTTACAACATATATGTAACGATCCAGAATACCCTCATCCCATTGGTTGAGCCAAGTGTTGCTCACAGAGACGATAGCGGGTAATAACAGACCAGTATAGGGGACTGAGTAATTTAAGTTATTTACTCAGTTTTACTCTGCAGCACTCAAAAACAAACAACTCCTCACTGCTGCAAGAGCTCAGAGGAAATACAAGTGGAAAAAGTAGGCTATCGCCATATAATAATAATAAAATAATAAAATAATAATTTTTGTTTCTGCTTTACAACTGTAGCCTACAGTCGTTGCATTTAATGCACAAATATGTTTACAAGTTTGCTGTTGCAGCAAAAATGTGCACTATTTATTTATTGTTTTATATTCATTTTTTGCAGCTTACAGTTAAACAGGTCATGCTTATGTTTAAGATACTTATTTTTATTCAGCAAAGTTTGTTATTTCGTATTAAAGTGAATTGCTGGATAATAATTTATGTTCCGTGTGTTCATGTCACTCAAAAATATGCATCTAATTCAATGCAGATTTGAGTAAAATATTTAAAAAAAAATATTTCACACACAAAGGGGGGCTTAAAATTAAATCATCACACCAGGAGGTGCGAAGGGGTCAGCTGGCACGCACATGAGGTGTCCCTTTTTTTCTTTTTTTTAGGGAGTTGGCAACCCTATTTACAAGACAACTCATTGATAAGTTACATTTAAATAAAGGTTAGGCATGTTTGTTATTTAGGGTTACAGCAGAACTTTATATTTCCAGAAAATCATAATTCCCCAGAATAAACATGATGATTATTATGTTGACTAGAATTGTTGACATATTTTCCACCAGAAAAATCATACGTTAATGTTGTGAGAGCTCGTTACACCTCTATTCTTCATGTTTAGTTACTGTTATTTCATAACTTAGTTCTATTTCTTAACTTTATGTTTGTCGTTTGTACTTCCTGGGTTGAGCTACTTGATTTGTATTTGTTTTAAGTGGCCCGATCAGATTAGAGAGCCCTATGTGGGTATCTGATGTTAATAAATCTGGTTATCTGTCCGTGTGATTCCTGCTAGTCTGCCCTCCTCTGCTTTCAGTAAACCCTCAAAGCTTTTTGTTAATGCTAATTTATTTTACCTCACAAGGATAGATCCAATTACTTCTACTGTGAAAGAATGATCACTTTAATTTGACATGGATTATCAAAAACAAGTCATTTGTAAAGCTTCTGATAAGACTGGATGTTTTTCTTGAAAATTAGGGAAAGGTTTAAACATTTTTTATTTTATAAGAAGTTAATCATACAAGACACACAAAGAATATTCTGATATTATTTTGTTATATTGTATCAGAATAATAAGAGAAGAGTTACCTATGTTGGCCAGCAGATGGCAGAAAGCTCACAATTTTTAAGAGGAGCTGTCACTGTTTTCAGCCCCTTAAACTGGTGTGACCCTTTTGTCTTTCCTACTACATTTTATCTTGTT